CCTTTTTATCTTTTAAAAGTAATAGTAGTTTAGGTAAGTTAATTATTATAAAAACTACTATAATAGTTTATAGTTATTTTTTAAACTACTAAGGCTTATTTAATATAATTTATATATTTTAAGTTTTAAAGAATTATAACTATTAAACTAGATTAATAAAGATATTATAGTTTTTTAAACTTAATATTTTAATTAAAAGCTAATAGTCTTTTTAATCTAAATCTTAAAATAAGGAATATTAAACTATAATAATTCTTATAATATTTCTAGAATCTATTAAAGTAATTAGTACTTTATAAAGTTTATTTATTTAGAGTTAAGCCTTTTCTATTATTTTAATTCTTAGTAGTTTTACTTTTAATTTTTAAATATTAAGTTATAAAACTAACTTAATACTAATTAGATTTATAACTACCTTTATATTTAAAATAACCTAAATAGTATTTATCTAATTAGCTAAAATACTTATTATATAGAAAGGTTTAGCTATTATTTCTTTTTATATAGGTTCTTTTTATATTAAGCCTATTTTAAACTTTAATTATAGCTCTTTTTCTAAGCTCTATATTTTTAGTTCTAAAAGGTTAATATAGACTAAAATAATAAAAAAACTAATTATATTATCTAGTTTCCTTTTCCTAAGTTTAACTTATTAATATTTTTATATTTAAGGTATTTAGGTATTATATATCTAGGTTTATTATACTTATAGTAAATAATTTCTTTCTTTCTTTAAGATAAGGGAAACTTTCTTTTTTAATAAGGTATAGGTAGTCTTCTTTAGTAATCTAGCTTTAGTTTATCTTAATCCTATTAGTTATTCTTATAGTTTAGTTTATACTTCTTATTAATACCTTTTTTTAATTCTTAGTCTAAAAGTCTTTATTTTAATATATTACTTTTTTAGTATTAGGTTATAGTTAATATTACTTCTTCCCTAGTTTTTAAGTTTTTACTTATATAGTTAATAATTTTTTTTATAACTATTCTTATAATTTTATAAGATATTATTAAACTTTCTTAACTTCTAGAAGTATTAATACCTTTTTCTTTAGTAAATCTAAATATAGATAAAAATCTATAAAGTATTAGCTTAGCCTTTATTTAATAAACTTAAAAATAATAACTATATTTATTTTTAGGTTAATAAAGTCTTTTAATAAGACTTTATTTTATTTTATAAAATAGTCTTAATTATTATTATATTCTTCTTACTTAATTAATAATAGCTTATTTAAGTATTAGTTTTATTTAGCTTAATAAGCTAAGTTTATATATTTTTAAATATAAATAATTTTTAAAGATTTTTTATAAAACTTCTTTAGATTAGTTATAAAGGCTTTTTATAAGTCCTTTTTCTATTAATTATAGATTTAAAAGTTATATTAGTTTAGTAGTTTAGTAATATTTTAAATCTAAATACTTTAAAAAAAGTAATTATTTTTATTATTTTTATTTTATAATAAATAACTTTCTTTATTTAGCTTAGTTTTAAAAAGTTAAAATTCTTTTTTTAAGATATTTTTCTACCTAGCCTTATAAATCTATTACTAGATCTCTTTTTCTTTTTTATTTAGTAAAGAGAATATATTATTTCTAGCCTTTTTAAAGAAATTATTAATTTCTTAAATTATATCTTTCCTTATTAATATAGTAAGAGAATATCTTAAAAGAGGTTAAGAAGATAAAAGAGTTAAAATACCTTTTTTTTTTTATAATTTAGCCTTATTTTTAATAATAGCTTTTATTCTCTTTCTAAATAATTCTTTAATAAAAGTTTTAGAATTATAAAGATTAGGTTAGATTAAATAAAAAAGTAAAGAAAGAAAAAGGTAGGTTATATTACTTATTAAAACTAAAGCTTATCCCCTTTTTCCTTTTAAGAAATATCTTTTTTATTTTATAATAATTAAAAGGAAAATAATTTATCCTTTTAATTAGAGTTTAAATACTATTTAAATACTAATTAAAACTTATATAAGTTAATTCTATTCCTATAGGTTTACTTAAGGTTTTAATTTAGGCTTAACTTATATATAAGTCTTATTAATCTTATAACTAATTCTTCCTTAAGCTAACTCTAGGTATTTCTTTACCTTATAGCTAATTAGTTATCTTATATAATTTATACTTACTATAGATCCTTAGCTATTATATATCTAATACTAGTAGTATTAACTTTGCTAGTAGTATATAGTCCCCTAATTACTAGGGTTCCTTATAATTATAGGTATTAAATTAGGTTCGATTTAAATTATATATATTAGGGTATTATAATAAAAAGAAAAGATTCTTAAAAGACTTAATTAAATTATAATTAAGAATAAAAGAATAGAAAAAGAGTATAAACTTAATAGCCTAATACTAAATTCCTTTTATATAATATTTAAAGTAATAACTTATTAGCTTACTATAATAAGGAAAAGTAATATTAATTAGGATTATAATATAATAATACTTATAACTTTAAAGGTTTCTTATAAAAGAATATATATAGGTTATATATAGAACCTTATAAAGACTATTAAAAGTATATATAGTAGTTTAAGTTATAGTTATAAACTTTTTTTAGGTTTTTAAGGATATTTAAGTATTTTTCTTAACTAAACTAAGGGTAAAGGAATAATTATTAATATTATTTAAGTCTAAAAAGGTAAAGGATAATATAATAATATTATTTAAGTCTATATTATTAAGATTAAAAGTTAATAAAAAATAAAATAATTAAAAAAAATAGTATATACTTTTAAAATTAAATATAATAAATATACTATTAACCTCTTAAACCTCTATAGGAGTTAAAAGCTAAGATTACTTTATTAAATTTAAGTTACTAATATCTTATAAATACTTTAAAATAGATAAAGTATATTAAAAATTAAGAACCTCTTTAAAACTAGAGTTTTCTTTATAAGTAGTAAAGAAAGAATAAAAATAAAGTATATTAAAGATAATAAATAAAGGAAAAGAAACTAGCCTTCTAAAGAATTAAAAGTAGTTTAAATACTCTTATATAATTATTAAAAATACCTTATTTTATATATTATAATAAGATTATATTATTAAAAAGTAGTATATTACTAAAGTTATTATTATTTTACTTTTAAATAATTAAGGAAAATAATATAAGTAAGTTAGTAAATATAGAAAGAAAAAGAAAATAAACTAATTATAATAAGATTAAAAAGAACTATATATATAAAGAATTTAAATATTTTTTAATTTAATAAAAGTAGTTATAAAAAATTAATTTATTAAAAAATACTATTCTTAATTAAATTCTAAAATATTTCTTTAAGGTAATATAAGTAAAAAAAAAAGAATCTATTTAAAAAGTATATTATAATTTAAATAAAGATTATAATATATATAATTAACTAAAAACCTACTTATAATAAAAAGCTAAAAAAAGATAATAGTATATAAATAAAAAAGTTAGGTTTAAAAAAATTAATCCTAATTATTAATAGAATTAAGTAATAAAAAGATATATTAAAAAAGTATAATTAAGCTAATTAGCTAGGTTAGAAAATAGGTATAAAAAGAAAGGATTTTCCCCTTTTAGTTAAAAAAGAATAAGGTAAAAATAGCTATAAGTTCTAATATATATTATTCTTTAACTCTACTATATAAAATTGCTCTTAGTTATAACTAGTTATCTAATGTCTATATTAGCCTGCTTATATAATTTATGAGAACACTGAGCGCCGTCTCCACGGCCACTACTTTACCGCACGAATCGGTGACCACGCCGCGTCTGTTTTCTTTGTCAATCGTACTTAGGTCAATCGGTGCACTTAGACCTCGTTCTATCCCAGTACACACGATAAGGACCGGGGTATCGCCAAAATTTGCAATGTCAATGTCATAAGTACAGGTCCGAAGGGCGACAGCGATGGCGTAAAATACGGGCTGCATGACGTAGAATGGTTCTTCCGATGACAGTTCCTCCGTAGCCGTCTCCTTCGACTTGATAGACTCGATCCTTTCGCAAAAGTTGGAATGTAGCTGTCTCACCCAGTCTACCATGGTCATGGAGCATGTGTCGAGCGGAAGGATACTGGCAGGTGGCATGCATACTTTGGTGAGAAACTGGCCACGGTCAATCTCGCTTCGATAGGGGCGGAACCATCGGTCGTAGGTATATCGAAATAATTGACCGATTAAAAGCACAGGTTGATAGTACATCGGTTCGTAAAATCCTCGGTCTGGGTGGTGTGGGTTGGTGAGATCGCGGAGGAGGTAGACTGCTGATGTGCGGTTGCAGGCGTCGTTTGCATCTTCGAGACGGAGGTCCGAGGCAGCGGTAAAATCTATAGGCATGTGGTACTGAGGGTTGAGCAGCCACTTAGAGGTGGCAGAATGCACCATAGCTCGGTTGAAATGAGAGAGCTCCTGGAGTCCGCGGAGAACGCGTAGGAGCTCATCCTTTGGCAGCGGAACCCTGTCCGACGAGACGCCGTATAGTTCTGCGGAATCGGAGTTCATCACTTGGCGAAGACGATCTTTGGGACAATGAAGTCGCAATGATGGATGCTAGATAGGAGATCGATGATGGCGCGTGGATGCTAATGAGAAGAGAAGGAGTAGAAATGTGCGAGCTGCCTCCAGAGGGTATGTTTTGTAAGGGGACGGAGGCTATTAGCAGGCAGCGCGGGGCAGTACTTATACTTATCGTAGGTAGGATTCTACCACCAATAATGCCTAGATGTAAAGTTTGTATGCGAACTTGAAAAGTTACACACACAGTCAGTCGCCAAAGTTTCGCTTAGTAGGCACAAAATATACCAAGCTACATATATTATTATTATTGAATGGCACTAATTTGGATCTTGTGGTCCTTCTGGTACCTCGATAAACTATATATAAAGGTACCTACTTTTCTAGTTTATAAAACTAATTATATATTATTAAATATTATAATCAGAAGACGGCGCATTTCTAGTAGCTAGTTGTAGAGCAGTGTAAAAGCTTTACCGAGGACAACAACTAATCGCAGAATGACGTATTTTCGTATTCGTAGATGTCTCTTTATGTATACAAATATTGTGATAGGGGATTTGCTGCTGGCTGCCAAAGAGGTGCGGAAATGTATTCGTGCAGGCGTCTCGGATCTTTGTGAGAAAAGTGGTGATGCGGTGTGTCATAGCTGAAGCGAATGGGTAAATGCTGTGAACTTGCCAGCAGGCGACTGCGGGAGTTGAACTACTAAGGTAATAGTTAGCCCGCGGGGAGAAAGCCCCGATGCATCCGTTGTTCTAGAAGGCATATTTCCGGCTATTCCATGACACAGATGAATACTAATAGGGTGTGGTGTAATGGTGTGAACTGGGCCCGCATCCCGCATGTTACATGCTCAGCAATCGGGGCCGGCGTTTTCGCAACGACCGGGCTTTGGAATGAATGTGTGTAATTCGTACAGAAATTATATTAACAGATCTCAATAACCGGGGTCGTGCGACAAAACGCCTTGGTCAGCGCATTAGCGCGCCTGCATGAGGATATTTAGAGGGTCAGGCCAGCCTGTCAGTGGTGTGGAAGCCACTAGTTCCTAGCAGGGGGGCCTTCAATATCCGGTTTTGCCGTGACGCCGACACTTTTCTTGGGAGGCGAAAAGAACTGGCGCGACAAACGGGAATGAAACTATGCCTTGTTCACTGCCATTCTAGAAGCGCAACAATCAACAGTTTGCGCTTCTCCTTGTCGAATCTCTCTTTACAGGTCGGCACATCTTATGACGCTACACGTCTCTCCGCAGCCCGTCACACTCGCTTGTTTTAGACTCTTCCGTCTCGTCCTCTTCTCTTCTCCCACGTCTCCGGCATCCCGGCCAGCTTGTGCCCCAAACGCCAACCTCTTTTCACCGCACCTCGAATTGTTCCTCCTTCAACCTGCAAAACCCCAACCATTGAGGCAGACACTCGCGTCTGCTTCTCCAACCCATCCCCATCATGCCAGAGATTCGTCGAGGCAGCTCCGTCCACGCGAGCTCGACCCCGGCGTCTCTCATTGATGCCTCGACATCCTCGCAGCTTCCGGTCTTTCCGCCGCCCGCCCCGATCCTCCATTCCCGGAGCCACGACGAGACGACCACAACAACAACAACATACAATGCCACAGGTACGACCACGAACCTGCGAGCCGCTTCCATCGACAATGGCGCCGACCGGCCGCCGCGCCGCTCCGTCACACTCTCCGCCGTGAAGCCCAAGCGACCCCCGACCGATTTCCAGCACACCTCCTCCCTCTCCGCCAGTCACATAACCAAGACGACCTCACCCGCCTCCGGTGCTGCCGTCGCCGACGCACCCCCGCGCCGCAGCCTCTCCTACGCCCAGCGCGAGTCCGCCACGGCCTACTACGACTCCCGCGCCGCAACCCGCGCCGAGTGGCAACGCCGCGCCAAGACGCTCGAGGAGTACTATGATGACAACCCAGGCCTGCTGCCCCAGCTCCCCTTTACCTGGCACCATGGCTGGCGCCGCTGGCGCCTCTTCCTCTTTGCCTTTCTCGTCTTCGTCGACGCTTGCGCCCTCCCCATTGCCCTCTACTACGGCATGTGGTACGCCGGCCATGTGCAGGGCTACATCATCTTTGCCATCGTCACCACCATCTGGGGCGGCCCTACCTACCTCGAGTTCGCCATCCGCACCCTGCGTCTCATCAAAAAGGAGCGCTTCTACCGGCCGCTCGGCACCGAGAGCCGCTGGTGCTTTGATGTCGTCACCTACACGTCTGTGATAACCATTACCGCCGTGACGGCTCTCTTTGTCGTCGGCAGCGTGCCGCATATTGTCTGGCTCCGCGTGCTCTCCATGCCCGCACCAGCGATCCTGTGGGCCGTTGGAGGCGTCATGTCCCTGATTTTGCTTTACAATCAAATGGGCTGGAAGGCCCCTTTTCGACTCAGTTCCACGCCCAAAGGCGGCAAGGTATGTGCAAGAGCCGCCAATTCCATTCAGCCTATTCAATCAATGCTAATGTTCACCTAGGTTCTCCCACCTGTGTACTACTTCATCGAGGACGTCGTCGCTGTCAATGCTGGTGCCGGTCGTCCCTTTCGCGAAGCCCTCGCAGCTCGCTACAAGGCCAGCCCTCGTTTCCGCCGTATGCTCTACATCCAGTCCATCTTCTGGAGCATTCCCGCTCTCATCATCGCTATTCCCCTCACCGTCGTGGCCGTCATCCATCCCGTCCCTGCTACGGCCGCGTACGGCATTTGCTGGGCCGTTCCCTTCATCTGGATGGTCATCTGGGGCGTCATCTCCGTCTACTGGTGCAAAGCCAACATGGTTCGCGAGCGTCTCGAGTGGCAGGCTGGCAAGGTTGACACTGCCACTGCTCCAGTGCCGCACGCGTCGCCCTCGTCGACGCCGCCGCCGGACAAGCCGCAGCACAGCGACACCCCGCCGACCACCGCTGAGGAAGCATGATACATTCAAGTGCGTGCCTTATACGGCTTTTTATCTACAGAAAGTATATCTGGAGAGTGGGAAAAACCGATCGCGTACGCCTGCATATATATACCCTCGGACTCGACGCGATCGTCAATTTTGATTTAATTCATGAGCCACGGAGTTTTGACATTGGGCCTAGTCTGGCAAATAGAAGATAGAAACACAGCCATAACATAACCAAGTAAACGAATATGCTGTTAATAATATATATACGTATTTATTCCTGTTCAATATTTTGCCCTCTTATTTAACGGGATTGGTATGGTATAGGGTGAAGAAATGGGTCGGGCAGTTGCTCTCTTGGCTATTTGCGAGGTGCAATTACAGAAGACGACGAAAGTCTCTGACCTCCAGCGACGGCATATAGCCCCATCATGGGGTTCCGTACTTCTGACAGATTATACAGTATTATCTCAAAAACTGCATAAAACCTTGCATTTACAAATCAGACAAGCAGAAATATTCAATCTCGTCAATTCGAACAATTCGAATAGCGTAGTTTCTGTCATTACCGCATGGCCCCGTTAAATGCAAGTCCTTTGAACCGCCACGGAAGCGGCTAGCTTTGCTGCGCAACGCTATCTGCGGCAAACCTCCCGCAGCACAAACGTCAACATCAACCCAGCCAGAGCCACGAAACACGACCGGGGAAAAGACGAACAGGGTTTATACGCAGAAAACACAAAGAAACCAAGAAAGCCCGCAGCCATGGCGGAACAAGCGCCCATCTCTACGTGCGTGTCATTGCACCCCGACACGCGCAAGTGAAGGCCGTCGTCGTTTGCCCAGCGAACACTTGTAAAAAAAAAAAAAGCTAACCAATGCCCCGCGCACGGGAAAGCAGTGTCTACGTGCAGAACCTCGAGGAGCGCGTCAAGCCGGAGCCGCTGACCAGCGCGCTGCGCACCATCTTTTCCGAATTCGGCCAGGTTGTCGACATTGTCGCCAAGACGAACCTAAAGGCCAAGGGCCAGGCGTTTGTCGTCTTTGACACGCCGGCGAGCGCGCAAGAGGCCGTCGACGAGATCAACGGCTTCCCGCTCTTCGACAAGCCCATGCGCCTGGCCATGGCCCGTTCGTACAGCGACAAGACGGTCGAGATGAGCGGCTCGCCCGCCCAGCTCGAAGCGCACAAGCAGCACCGTCTCGCCGAAAAGGGTGCGTTGCCCCTTTTTTTTCTTCCCATAACAGAAAATAAAATTAGGCTGCGAGGAAGAAATGCTGACAGCAATTCTCGTTACAGAAAAGAAAAAGGCCATCGAGGCCGCCGAGGGTCCCAGGCAGGGCAAGCGCGGCGCGGCCGGCGTCGTCGGGGCCGATGGGCGGCCGTCCAAGATTGGCAAGCCGTCGGGGCTCAAGTCCACGTCGGTCGCGCAGGCGGCTGTCATCCCGGACGAGTACCTGCCGCCCAACAAGATCTTGTTCCTGCAGAATGTGCCCGACGAGTACGACGTCGAGGGGCTCACGGCGCTCTTTGGGCGCTTCGAAGGTTTCCGCGAGGTGCGCGTGGTGCCGGGCCGTCGCGGCATCGCGTTTGTCGAGTACGACGCCGAGCAGGGCGCCACGGAAGCCAAGGAGAATACGGCGGGCATGACGCTGGGCGACAGGAACATAAAGGTCACGTACCAAAGGCAGTAGAAGCGAGTTGGGTATGTAATTGTAGTGTACCAGGGTGCATGGCGAGTTCGCACACCAAGCAGGGTCAATGCATTCTAGGTGTGTCATGGCATGGAAATAAGGATAATGCGAATTCAACTATTATCAAGATCTACTATAACAACTGGTCGCGACAACGACCGGGGCTTGATGCTTCAGGTAGCAGGTGTTTGGTTAGCATGGAGGGCGCGTCGCCCTTTAAAAGATGACATCGTCGTCCTCGCCGGCAGCCAGCATGTCCGAGGGTTCATCCTCAGCAGCATCGTCCGCCGCGACACCCTCCTCCGCTTTGGCTCGCGCTAGGAGCTTCGCCTTCATCTCTTTATCCGCAGCAGCCGTGTCTCGTTGTTTCTTGTTGGCGACCTAGAATACATTAGGCTCCGAGCTTTTATGGGTGGACTTGTGCGTGGACATACCTTTTTCAGTCTGTAGAACTCCTCGCGGTCAACCTCATCTAGCTCCGAGTTGATGTATTTGATGGTGTTTTCTGTGCGGGGTATAATGACATGCTCAATGGCGTTGACTTGGGCAAGTTAGCAGCATGTATCACTGTGGCTCGTACCATTCTCAACTCACCTCGTCTGTTGACGACTTTGATGACCTCGTCGAGAATCACAAAGGCCGTCTGCAAGCTAGCGAGCTCAACGAGAGCCTCCACTGCGCGGGCATACGTCTCACGACAACGCTGCACCTGCTGCCCTCCCTTGCCGAGACCGGTGAGACCGAAATCGTTATTTCCTTCGGTCAGATAACTTTCAAAGGCGGGAAGCAAGACACCAGACACATTGTCCTGGCGCGTGCGGAGACGGAACCGGGCAGACTTGGCCGACTCCTGCACCTGGTACCCAATGTCGCCGCCGACAGCGTATGTGACTTCAGCCAAGGAAAAGGCAGCAATTTGCATAACGCGTCCCATCTTGCGCTTGGCTTCATCTATTCTTCTCGTAATCTCTGTTGCGCATCGCATTATTAGTGACGGGGATTGGGCCGTGGGTAGTTTCAGTCGAATGACGAACCTCGGAATCGTCTAGAGTTTCTCAGTTAGCACGGGGCTGAACCATGACCTGATCAATGGATTATCGCGGACACTTACTTTGTGAGAGCTTCACTCTTTCTCTTCAGCAGACTGTGACCAGTCTCGGCGCCCTTGAGCTTCGCCTTCATGATGCCCAGCGACTGCCGGGTCGGGAAGACTGGCTCGCGATCCTGCATTCGTTGTTAGCAACCTGGCCGCGCTCCCTGTAGCACCCGATAGCCACTTACGGAGGCGCCAGACATGTTGAATATTGAATGCCGGGGCGCGTAGGGATATATCAACGAGAAGCAAGCGAGAGCGTCTACAGTGGTCGGAGCAAGCAAGCCAGAAGAAGATGGCCGGGAGGCAGCTTAGGACGCCCCACTCTGACGAACGTCACACAGCATGCGCCAGTGCGGCCAAGTGCAACATGCTTCATTATTGCGATACGTTCACAGTCCAAAGTGAGGCCCCATATTAAATGCAACTAACAACAACCAGCGGATTTTGCTAGGCGCCAGTGCAGGGTCCCATGTTTGCAGTCCACGCCAGCCTTTATTTTCCCGACGACGCGATTTGTGCCCAGCAACTCCTCTTGCCGACAACCCAAGTGACCAATGCCAGAATCGTGACGTGCGCCACGGTCCTGAGCATCACGAGCGCCGCGTTCCACGTCGATTTCCCGCCGGTCCCTCCCCAAACATGCGCTGCAACGCCGAATAGACTACTGGAAAGTTGCCTGCGCCGCAGCTGCGACAATAATCGCCCATCCGTGCACGTCCAAGTCACCAAACGCATTTATTTTCAGAATGGCAGCTATGGTAGCAAACGGACAGGCGCACCTGCGCCAAAACCTCCATCTTGTGGTACGTTTGTCCCTCGCCAGTTGCGTGGGCACGTGGCCGAAAGCTGACAATGCATGCAGACAAACGAGGACTCCGTCTACGAACAAGACATCATACGTGACCCATCAACGATAAAGCCATGGCTCGTGTATATCGAATTCAAGTCCCGCTATGGAAATGCCCTCGAGAAAGCCTTTGTCATGGCGCGTGCCTGCGCCCAGCTCCCTCGATCGTACAAGCTATGGAAAATGGTGAGTGGCGGCGACGCCATAAAACTCATAATCCTTTGTGCAATGACTAACCAGCCGCAGTATTTGGAGTTTCGTGTCAAACACGTTTCGAAATTAAACTCTGCCATGTTTAATAACGAGTACAACAAGGTCAACGCGCTCTTCGAACAGGCTCTGATTCTACTCAACAAGATGCCTCGAATCTGGGAAATGTACCTGGCTTTTCTAATGAAGCAGCCGATTGTGACGACCGCCCGTCGAGTTTTTGACCGAGCCCTACGCGCCCTGCCGATATCCCAGCACAACCGCATCTGGGCCCTGTACATTCCATTTGCCAACGCTGCGTCAGGCGAGACCGCCGTCAAGATCTGGCGTCGCTATATGCAGGTACATCCTGAACATGCCGAGGACTTTATTGAGCTTCTCATCAAGGCTGGACTGTACACCGAGGCTGCGACAACGTACATCAAGATTCTCAACAACACAAAATTCGTGAGCAAAAACGGCAAGGGCCACTTTGAACTTTGGAATGAGCTGGTGGAATTGCTCGTGAGCCATGCTACCAATGTCCAAACTGGCCACGAAACTGGTATCGATGTCGAGGCCATTATTCGCAGCGGAATTGCTAGATTTTCAGATCAACGAGGCAAGCTCTGGGCCGGGTTGGCAACCTACTGGATCCGATGTGGGAGTTTTGAGCGCGCGCGCGATACCTTTGAAGAGGGTATCACTAGTGTCATGACCGTCCGCGACTTTACACTCATCTTTGACTCTTATGTAGAGTTTGAAGAGTCTGTAATTGGCGCCTTAATGGAAATGGCGACTGCCCGCGCCCAGAAAGGTATCGACGATGAGGAAGCAGACTTTGAGCTCGATATCCGCATGATGCGATTCGAGCACCTGATGGACCGACGGCCGTTTCTCCTCAACGACGTGCTACTTCGACAAAATCCCAACCAAGTGCTGGAATGGGAGAAGCGAGTGGCACTCTGGGGCGACAACAAGGCCGAAGCTGTACAGACCTACACAGATGCCATTGCCAAGATTCAACCGAAGCATGCCATTGGCCCGTTCCATCAACTTTGGACCAATTATGCAAAGTTTTATGAAGCAGGGGGCGATATCCGCGCTGCTCGAATCATCATGGAGAAGGCTGTCAAGGTGCCTTTCAAATCAGTCGCAGAGCTTGCCGACATGTGGATTGAATGGGCTGAGATGGAGCTCCGAAACGAAGACTTTGACGAGGCTACTCGGATCATGGCCAAGGCTGTTCAGGCGCCGAAGCGATCAAACGTCGACTATTTTGATGAGACGCTCTCGCCACAGCAGCGAGTACACAAGAGTTGGAAGTTGTGGAGCTTCTACGTGGATCTCGTCGAGAGTGTTTCGACAATGGAGGATGTAAAGAAGGTGTATGAACGTATTTTCGAGCTCCGCATTGCCACGCCACAAACCGTGGTTAACTATGCCAACCTACTGGAGGAAAATGAGTACTTTGAGGAGTCGTTCAAGATTTACGAGAGAGGTCTGGATTTGTTCAGCTATCCCGTGGCGTTTGAGCTGTGGAACATGTACCTGACCAAGGCTGTGGATCGCAAGATTGGGATTGAGCGACTGCGTGACTTGTTCGAGCAGGCGGTTGAGGACTGCCCGCCCAAGTTCGCCAAGACCATCTACCTGATGTACGGCAACCTGGAGGAAGAACGCGGACTTGCGCGTCACGCGATGCGCATCTACGAACGTGCGACGAGAGCGGTTTCTGACGAAGACCGGGCCGACATGTTTCACTTTTACATCACCAAGTCGGCTTCCAACTTTGGTCTTCCGTCGACGCGACCGATTTACGAGCGGGCCATCACCGCGCTGCCCGACGAGGAAGCCAAAGACATGTGCCTCAAGTTTGCGGACATGGAGAAGCGACTAGGCGAAATTGACCGCGCGCGCGCCATCTTTGGCCACGCGTCGCAGTTTTGCGACCCGCGCACCAATGCCGACTTTTGGAGCAAGTGGGAGTCGTTCGAGGTGCAGCACGGCAACGAGGACACGTTCAAGGAGATGCTGCGGATCAAGCGCAGTGTGCAGGCGCAGTACAACACGGATGTCAACTTTATCGCCTCGCAGGCCCTGGCAAAGAGTCAGGCGGCGGCGGCGGCAGCAGGTCAGGAGATGGACGCCGACACGCAAGACGCCATGGCGGCGCTGGAGAGACAGGCGCGCGCGCCGCAAGGGTTCGTGGCCGCAAGCACGGGACCGGTGGGCGGCGGGGTGCAAGATACCAAGCCGGCTGTGGCGGCCAATCCAGATGCGATTGACATTGACAGCGGCGATGACGAGTAACGCTGTGCATTTCTTCTCGTCTACTCTGGTCGAGAGACTGATTACCATTATGTTTTCTCGCCTTTGTTTTTTGTTTGTTTGCTGGTGTGGCGAAAGATGGGAAGTTTTATCCTTTTGCTGTGCTTGGTGATATAAACGCACATTCGTTTGGAGGGAGCTCGCTCACGTTGGCTCGCTATTTCCTTAACATTCTTTTCTCGATTGTCTTTTTACAGTACTGGATTTTCTCTTTGTCCTGCTTGGCCTTTACTTTGCTTTCTTTTTTCTTTTATTCTTGATTATATACTTGGGGCTTTCAAACTGTTTTTTTTTATACTGGGTTAAGAGGGAGTAGACAAACGAGCGAGGTGTGGAAGCTGGAAACAGAGCATCATGACAGAGGAGAAACATGAACACATAAAAAATACATCTTTGTTTTTCTGCCTGATATAATGAATGATTGGAACAAGACAAAAATGATGACATTACAAGCGATGAACTACAAGAGACGAAAAGTAAAGCGGCCGTTCAAAAGGGTTGAGAAGTGCAAGCGCAGGATGCTGTAACCTCATTCTTTGGTATCTTTTCAAAACCATTCCCCCTACTTTGCGGAAGAAAAAAGCCACCCGAGGATCACCGTTCGGTCCGTATTACTTGCTCTTGGTCATTTCGGCAATCTTGGCGTGGTACTTGTCTTGGTAGTTGCGGTCGACGTGGCCGTCGCGAGAGCTGGGCGTAGCGTAGATGGAGCCCTTTCGTTTTTGGAAGCGGCTAGGGGGTACTTTGGCCGCGTCTAGAAAGTGGGTTGTTAATGATGTGATTAAATTTCAAGAGGTTTAAATGCTGGGGCTTGTGATGGTGACAATGGGGATCCTGGCTTCTCGAAGAGCAGGGTTGGTAAATGGCAAATGGGGCGACAAGCTTTTTTTAGCAGTCGTTGGCGGACGAAACGACGGCCGGGGAATTTTTCGGCTTTTCGGTACTTTCGGTCCAGCGTCTTTCAGCGGGGCAACTTTATTGGAGGGCAACAGGGTATCACTGATTTGGTTGTAAATTGTAGGTTGTGAAGGAAAGAAAGGCATGGGAGATACGGGAAAGGAAATAGAGAGAGAATCAAGCACGCACCCCATTCGTCGCTCATGCGGCGGTCTTGCTTAGGCACTGAATCGACCGGAGACTCGGTCAGCACCAGAGGGGGTTGGCCGGTGGTGGCAGTAGTGGTGCCTTTGCTGGCCATGATGTTGGAGATTATAGTAAGGGTATGTGTGTTTATTCTCGGGTCGGATGGGCAAGGGACTCGAAACTGTCGCCATGGCCTGTGTTAGTCAAGGACACCACCCCATGCCACTTATCGCCATGTGCAGATGACCATACCTGTCCGAGTTGAAAGAAGAAGAAGAAGAAGGGGAGGAAGAAGAGAATGGCGTGGTATAATGTAGCAGACGAAAGATCAAACGTGCCAAGATGATTTTCATCACTACTAGACGGATGGCCACCTTTTATACCAGCCCATGGTCCTCTGGTCCCCTCTCACCTCTCACCACCACCACACATACATACAGGCACACACACTTGTACGCACGCCACTGGCTGTGCCCCCTCCCCCATCATCATACGGCAGAAGCACTGCCTATTACCTCTCTCGCTTTGCCCCCCCTCCGCGCCTCATCGAACAGCGCGCAACCCTTGTCTCTCGAATCTGGCATGGCCTCGTTCTCTATCTGGGTTGTGTGTGTGGGGGGAGCTATCGGCTGCGGCCACTCACCTGTCACTGCCTCGGAGCATCGACAGCAACAAGCCTCCGTGACTTTTGGCACAGCTTCAAAAGCCGGCTTTGACGCTAGCAGGGCAACCCTGCCTTTATGCGCCTTGGGGGTGGTGATTTCATCGGACCAAAAGGCGATCCCCTCCTCTCCTCCCTCGGAGCTGATCAAACTATCAAAACCCCAGGTCTGACTTCAGGAGGCCAATAGATGGTGGTTCGTGAACCACCCCGTTCTGGAATAATCCTTCTCCTTTGAACGAGAAAACAAATACTAGGCATTAATCGTGAAAAACTAAAGACTGTTCACGACCGCAGTGTCTCATTATTCAACTGGAATAGTCTTGGGCACTAACATGGACTTGTCGCCAAACAATATGCTACCCAGCCACCACTTACACGAGTCCCCCTCCGAGACATGTAGCTAGTTAGTTACACTTGCATCCCAGAGGAGACAAATAAATGGTACTATTGATTCGCCAAAACGGCATGCCGGGCCTCACGGGTCCCGTGCCGCAGCACAGGCGGCCTCTTTTACGTAGCCATATCTGCGCGAAATTACCTCTTGTAATAAGAAAGAAAAAAACAAAACAAAAGACCTCGTCCTAGTGCCGTTGCATCGTGTGACGCAGGTCTGCCTCGCTCTTCTTTTGCCTCTTTCGGATAGCCTTGCGCTGCCCAAGTTCAGGCCTCAGGATCATCGTTTACCAGCGGGAACGTCATTGCTCCAAGCCCGTTTCGTCAATAGCTTCGATTGTTATCCGCTGAGTGATTTTATTTCCTGTTATCCCAAACTCTTACCCGTCGCTCTCTTTCTCGTACGTCCTGTGAGACTCGAGTTCACCCAAGGTTGCGGCTTTCGCTGCGCCTGTGACGGTGGCGCAGGGGCTGGCTGGAGTGAAAGCAGAATGAGGCAACCGAAAAAAAACAAGAATTGGCCATCAACGGTCTCGTGACAATGGTTCACACCAAAGTCACAACCTTGATGAGAACAGCGCTTCATGACAGCGTTGCACTCATTGCCCGCAGAAACCCCGCTCTGGATACGGCCGTACTATAGAACAAGCACTCACTCCTTCGCTTTCCCAGCGTGCACCGGGGATAGATGTGTGATTTTCAGGCAGATATCTGGTGGCGTGGTTCCAAACGGGGTGAGTCGTCATCGCCTTGTCTATACACACGCAACAACCAGTCATAAAACAAACAAGGCGAACAGCCTCTCCAAACGCTGAGACACATTCACACGTGACACTTCTCCGCATCTAAACTTTCCTTGCAGTCCTCTCGACAAAATGTATCTTTTGAATGTCCCGACACCTGGTCGCCAAGATGTACCGACCAGCCAGTCTTGGCGACGCAAGCCACTCGGTCGCTTCGCCACAGTGACAGGTCTTGTCCCGTATTGTGTACGCGCCGAGAGAGACCCCCCCCCGGTAGTTCAGGCAGAATATCTGTATGGTTTGACAAGGAAATAAAATGGTGGTTCGTTCATTATTAAAGCATGTTTTAATTATCCATTAGAATGCTTGAAACGGTAGACTGCACTGATGCACGATTAAGCTAGTCCATTTATACTGCAATTCGATTTCTTCGAACCAGGTGTATTATATGCAACTAACAATGCATATTGACTTATGACCCAGACTACCCTCTATGTATTTTTTTCTTGTCTGAGTAAACTTGCATATGTGAGCTTTCGTCGTCTAGGTGCGACGTGATTGGGAGTCGTCAGTAAGAGAAAAGGCAAAATAAATGCAAAAGAAAATGCAAGGAGAATACAAAGGTAAGAAAGCGGCACTTATGATTCATCTTGCTGTTTCAAAGCTCAAGTATATATGCGCTGCGTTCGGCTTTGACCTAAACGCAATTTTATCGTGTTTGCATCTTGAACCGTTCGCCTCGCCTCAACAGCTTGCGGGTAGCTTGACGCCCGGCTGCGGTGCGGCTCGCTTAATAGCCTGCGTATAAAATCATACCATGGTTAGAGAGACAAATTCGTGGCCGTATATTGTCATTTTTAGATTATTACTGCTCCCTTTCCGCCTCTCCTTGTAGCATCAACATGCCCCTCGCGCATTGCTTCTTGCCCAGTGCTCCACCATGCAAGACGCAAGCGCACATTTTCGCAACCAAAACCACGGACTAACTAGAAAGAGTCATCAACAACGCGGCAAAGACTCATTTCTCGTCACACGAGCTTACAAACCCTGAGAAGCAGAACACAACCAGTAATCACAGCCATCGCAACTCAGAGTCCTTGCGACGCAGTCCCTTGGGACCTGCATCAAACGCGACCTTCCAACAGAGCACATCCACCGAGGTGATTCATGCTCCTGTGCTGCCGCCTTCCCCTCCGTGTCATGAAAAGGAAGTTGGACGCCTTGCTTCACGGTTCCGCCCCCGCAAAGATGCCCATTTCCACCAAGATCCAGCTTGACCCGCGCGAGCGCCGCCTGCGCAACCTCCTCGTCGATGTGGCCCGATCCATCGACGACGCGCCGCAGCCCGTCGTCCTGCGCTGGGCCGGCGGCTGGGTACGCGACAAGCTGCTCGGCTCCGCGAGCCATGATATTGACGTCGCCATCAACGCCATGACTGGCGGCCAGTTCACCGCCCGCCTGCGCGAGCACTGCCAGAAGCCCGACGTCATCGCCGCGCACAACCTCGCGCCGGGGGACATTGGCAGCCCGCACACGGTCGCGCGCCAGCCCGACAAGTCCAAGCATCTCGAGACGGCCATCCTGCGCCTCTTTGGCCTGGATCTCGACTTTGTCAACCTCCGAAAGGAGACGTATGCCGACGACAGTCGCAACCCGCAGATGGAATTTGGCACGGCCGAGGAGGACGCCGTCCGCCGCGACGCCACCATCAACGCCCTGTTTTACAACCTCAACACGGAAGAGGTCGAGGACTTTACTGGCGGCCTGGCTGACATGGAAAAGAAGATTATTCGCACACCGCTAGAGCCTCTGCAAACTTTCAAGGATGATCCGTTGCGTGTTCTGCGACTAGTCCGCTTCTCGAGCAGACTCGACTTTTCCATCGAGGAGGGCACAAGGCGGGTTATGAATGATACATCGGTTTTGGAGGCCTTGAAAGTTAAAATCAGCCGCGAACGTGTTGGACAAGAACTAGAAAAGATGCTACAAGGTATGGTGCTACTTGGTTTCTTATGAGACCGTGCTAACAACCATCAAGATCAGCATCCTCGTTTGGCGCTGCAGCTCATTGATGACATTGGCCTGTACCACGCGATATTCACAGACCCCACGCGCCCAGATCTGCAGCAGCCCAACATTGACAGGTGGCCTGTTGCATACAACGGCCTTGATGACATTCTACAAACACGGACACCAGGATCCATTGCCGCCACTCTCATCCACACCGACGAATACCGCTGCATCGCCTGGAACCTCGCCGCCGTCAGCCCCTGGATGCGCGTGCAAGACCCCCCCGGGACCAAGAAAAAGGCCAGCGCGCTGCCCCCCGTCGGCGTCATTGCGCGCGAGGGCTACAAGGCCGCCAACAAGCTGACCGACATCCTGGCCGCCGCGCACCGCCACCTCGACGAGATTCTGGCCCTCAAAAAGGACGTCCTAGACGGCGCCGCCCACATCCGCGAGCGCGACCGCTTCGGCATGGCTATTCGCCGCTGGGACGCGCAGGGCGGCTCCTGGCGCCTGCAGGTCCTCGCCGCGCTGCTCACCGAGGCGCTCGAGCGGCTGCGCGTGTGGCCCAACGCGGCCGTTGTCGAGGCCAGCAGCGCAGGTGAGCACGCGACGCGGCGCGACGCATTTGTCGCCGAGTGGCAGCAGTTCCTCGATCATTTGGTCGAGATTGACGTCATGGACGCGCCGCAGCTCAAGCGCCTGCTCGACGGCCGTGACCTGGCCAAGGCCCTTGGCGTCAAGCCCGGCAGGTGGACGGGCCAGGCGCTGGATGTCTGCGTCGCGTGGCAGCTGCGGAACCCGGATGCGACGGACGCGACGCCGGCTTTGGAGGAGGTGCAGAAGCGACGTAAGGAATTGGGCATTCCGGATGCTCAATAAATCGTGCATGAAGAGGCGGCTGTTTGGGTATGTGCAGAACTCTACTACGCAGTACCTTTGGGCAATTAAAAAAATAGTATTATATCTTATACCATACTAGACTACGTGTCTATGAATTATGAATTCAAAAATTCCAACCATGCAGGCTTCCAGCTTAAGAAAGCTCAATGCCACCAGTTTCTGGCAACTGGCGTACAGTGCGAATTACGACTCCATACACCCCGCCTTGCACTGTCTCGTCACAGCCCACTGACCAAACAAAACTCCTGGAGCTTCGGAGGACCATTGCGACTTCGTATATTGCTATCCTTTCACAAAATTACCGACAAGAGGCTACCGTGCTCGATAATAGACGTTTTGCAATTTTCTGTTCTTGCGAGTAAACGTATCAGAACGGCGCCCTGGTGCACAGCAAAGGCCAGACAATGAGCACCAACGAGCTGCTCGGCAGCGACAACCAAAATCGAGTGAAGGAGCTCGCCAAGGGTATGCAGCCAGAGAAGTCTGATATCTTTTGGATTCACAAACTCGGGAAGAAGACAATTCTTGTGCCTTCATCGGGGGCTAATTATCTGTGTAGATTCATACTCCGCCGTGAGCATCTTCAAGAACCTCGTGGCTGAGGACCCTGTATGTAAAACCGGTCCACTGCCGCGACAACACGTTGACTCTTTTCGGAATGTAGTCCTTGCGACGAGATGCGGCACTGGCCGTCCTCGACCACCATCTGGAAACGCCTTCTCTCAACGGCGCTGCCCTGGTAGCTGCCCTCGCAGAGACGTTGAGGTCGCCCGGCGCTGCCCGAAACGCCGTTGACGACCTCGCCTGGGCCACCTCGGCCGAGGCCGCGCTCGCCGCGCTGTACGCCATCGACGCGGGACCGGGCGGGATCAGCGACGCGCTCCTGCGCTCCGTCATTCCTTACACCGAAGCCAGCCAGCCCTGGACCACCGCCGCCGCCGCCGCGACCGCGGAGCGCCTGCTCGACAAGTATCGGCCCGGCGCGGAGAAGCAAGAATTCGTCATTGGCGGCGTCCTTCAGAGCTACCTGCGTCCCGTCTTTTCCAAAAGCACATCCGCCGTCACTGCGCAAGGCCGGCCCGTCTTGTTCCGCGAGCCGCAGCCGGACGCGGGCTTCCATGCGCAAAAGGCGGCTTGGAAAGAAGTCGGGCCGCACATTGTCACCATCTTTGACTGGGCCGTGGACGCCTCCGAGGTACACACACACACCGCTTCTGCCCCGCCCCCCCTTCCCTCTGACAAATACTACATACACCCTTGCTAACGATCCAGTTACAGCCCGCCACCATCAAGAAGCACTGGCCGCTCTACGTCCCCGTGCTCGTCACGCTTACCGAGGACGACGACGTGGTCGTCCGCCAGCGCGGCCTCGAGATCCTCGGCCGCTTCCTCGTCGCGTGCCCTGCCAATGTCCTGCGCACGTCGGGCATCGACGCCGTCTTTGCGGCGTCGGTCCTTCCGTCGCTGCTCTTTCTCCCGTCGCTGACACCCGAGGCCGAGTCGGTGGTGCTGCTGCGCGCGGCGTACGGCGCGCTGCGCGCGCTGGCGCTGGCCGCCGACGCAGACCCGGCGGCCCGGCGGCGACGCGCGCTGCTCGATAGGACGCTGCGCGAGGGCGTGTTGGCGGGCTACTTTCACGCGTCGCAGCACATGCGCGTCGTCGAGGTGCTGATGCGGTCGGCGGCGCAAATCGTCGAGGCGTTGCAAATCTACGCCGTGAAGCACTTGCAGGTATGCATCTGATCTGAAATATTGGATATTGGTTCATTATTACATAAGGGTGGACTAGATGAGTAAAAAGCAACAATGTCGCTAATAGTTGTGACAGAATCTGCTCGACCTCTTTACTCCTGTGCTCACAGACGCCTTTGCGCTGGCATACCCTCCTGCGGTTGTCGCCACGGCAGAGGCACTCAATACGACGATTCTCAACTGCTGGCCTCGCATCGTCGGCACGCCGCACGCCGAACACATCATCAGCGTCGCCTCCCGCTGCTGGATCAATGTCCAAGGCACTAGCGACGAGCTTGGGGCCCCGAGCAGGAAGCCCTCACCGCGGAGCTGAAAAAGACAATGACGCTGGTGGCTTCGTTGTGGAGAGAGGCCGACGAAGCAATGCCGATGGAAAAGCTCGCACAGATGGTGCAGATGGAGCCAAGTCTCAAGTCGCTGCTTGTCCCGTTTCAGCTCGAAAAGTCAATGGCATGATGACAAGAATGCAAGTCTCAGTCCAAGGGCTGCTGCTTGAAGAAAGACTTGCCCCTCAGCCACTTCCTGTAGGCCTTGTATCTCTTCTTCAGCGCGTCCTCTTCCGTCACCGTCAGCGGGTTCTCTCCAACCTTGAGTAGCTCCGCGTAGAGGTCCATCTCCTCCTCGCTGCCGCTGGCCATGAGGCCGCGGTCCTGCCACCCGCCGTGGATGTAGTCCTGGTACTCGGACGAGTCCATGTCCACGGGCGTGTCGCTCGACACCACCAGCGGCAGGTTCTGCGGGTGGTGAATGTACCGCGCGTAGTCGTCGGCCTCGTGGTGGTCGACCGACGGATTCAGCGAGTCCTTGACCGCCCTGGTAAACGTCCACTGCTCGGCCGTCGACTTTTCTAGCGCTGTCGGCTTCGTCTTGGCCGCCATGTCCGCCTCGTCGACCGTGTCCATGGCGTGTATTGTCTTTTCCTGCGTGGGGTGCAGCCAGCGGCCGAGTGACATGCCCCGGGGTGGTGCCGCCTTGTCCGAGGCCATGGAAGACGCCCCGTCGTCGGACAGGGCGACTTGCGAGAGGGGCGAACTGGATGTCTTATTATTATTATTGTTGTTGGGCGCGGTGGCCGCATTCTTCTTGGCTGCCCTCTTCTTGTCGGCTTCGACTTCGTGCTGCTCTATGCGCACGCGGAACGGGCTAAGGTCGTACTTGCCATCCTGCGTGGATTTAATGGGAATGTATTTAATGGTCGAGTTCATTTTAAAGGCAAACATTTTGGGAAACGAGGATAGCGTGGATGGGCGGTAGTATTCGAGCCAATAATCGTCAAAGAACTCGACGGGCTTGGGAACAGGCGCGCTTCGCACTGGGACCATAGCGGTGGCTGCCGTTTTTTCCTGCAGATTGGCCGGATCGAACCAGTGTATATAGCTTTTCATGTTGTCCGACGTCCAGTCTCGCGGATTCGAGTGATGCAAGTAGTAATCGGTCGTGAGATCCCAGAGCATCGGCTGCCCCGACTTGTAGACGTAGTTTCCCAGAAACAAATTATACGCCTCCTGTCGCTGGCTGTCGAGGAACGAGTTGTTGTAGTAGCGCTTGAAGCTCTCAATCATGTCGCGCGAGTGGCTCGTCCACTGGTTAATCTTGCGGTACGTCTCCATCGTGTTGACCAGCTGCGAGCCGCCGTACTGCACGGCAATCGTGTCGCCGTGATCGTGCCACATGTGCGTGAACAAGTTGACGGCGTCGGTGTCGTACTCGACCGAGGCGTCGTCCAGGATGCCCAGGGCGTGCAGCTGATGGCCGAGCGCGCGCTTGCCAATGACAAACTGCGCGGCGTTGGTGCGGTCCAGGCAGTCGATGCAGTTTGTGCGCGCGACGCCGTTCTGCGCCTTGAGCGGCACGGACACGCCGTCGCCGTTGTGGAAGAAGCCCGTCGCCTCGAGCACGCTGCGGGCAATCGTCTCCAGGTTGCCAATGACGTCGCCGCCGCGGACCTTGGAGGCACGGCTCATGTCCCACGCCTTGTGGATAATGTGCTTGCCGGCGGGGAGAAACTGGTTGAGGTAGTCGATGCAGTGCGTGTACTCGTCGAGCAGCTTGGACTCGCGCGGCTGGCGCTCTTTGGACTTGATGAGGTTGAGCACGTAGACGGGGGCGCCGTAGCGCCGAAACAGGTCGTCAAAGTGCAGGGCGGCGGCGCTGTAAAAGGGGTCGACGAGGTTGAGCTCGATCGGGGGCTTGGGCGTGACGCCGGTGCTGTCCTGCGTCCAGTGGAGCGGGATGCTGCCGCGGTGCTGCACGTACGATGTGTACTGCGGGCTGCAGTACAGCCGAGGCCCGGGGCCGTGGAACGAGGTTGTCTGGCATTCGGCCACGATTTGCTCCGTCTCGACGTCGTTGGCGACGTAGCCTCGGTCATTTGCCCCGCGCTTCAGGAAGCGCGCACCGGCAAAGTGACGAGATCGCCTCGCAATGACGGTGATGTAGGCCGTGTGGCCATAGATGGACAGGGCGGCCTGGTCGACATAGCCGTGGATGAGGGGGCGACACCAGTCAAACAGGTTATTGGTCACTGCTGAAATAGGCTTGAGCAGATAGTGGTTCCAGACAAACATTGAGTTCAGCTCCCCGTCAACCTCGGGAACGACACCCTGCGCCATGCACCGTCTCTCTCGCATAATGTTGCGCTGCATCGTGTGCGTGACGTCGTACGAGTAGCTGTAGTAAAAGGACCGCGTCAGGTCCAGGCTGTTGAAGATGGACAGGAAGCGCGTCTCCTCGGCACTCTTGTTCCTCGCCTCGGGCTTGGACGACTTGCCCGTCGCCAGCGGGATCAGCTCCGTGCCCTCAACCTGGTAGATGTAGTGGCCGCCCACCATGGCCACGGTGCTCTTCTTAGTGATGAGCAGCATGTAGTAGCAGCCCGTGAAGCGGATGAAGCCGAGCAGGCCCCACGTCGTGCAGCGCAGCTTGATGCCGCCGGTGCCCTTGTTGCCGTCGTCAATGGTGTCGAGAAGCTGGTTCATCTCCTGGAGCGTGTAGACAATCTTGTCGTCGGTCAGGCCGGGCTCGGCGCCGCCCTCGGTCGTGCGGTCAATCTTGAGGATACGGTATCGCGTCTCGCTGACGTCGACGCCGACGACGTAGTAGCGGCTCGCCGTCTCGTACAAGCTGAACTTGTGCATTTTATACCTAATTCGGTCGGATGTCGGCTCGTCGTCGTCATCGTTGTTGTCGTTGTTGTCGTCGTCGGCGCCCGGTCCTCCGCCGGTCTCCCGTTCCTCGGGCTGGCCCTCCTCGGACCGCAGATCCCCGCTATCATGGCTGGCTGCGCCGCCGCCTGAGGTCTGCACGCTACGGACACTCGGTTCGGGGCTCCCCGTGCGCACAAAAGGCTCTGCGACGGCCGGGTCGCCATCGTAGTCCTCTACAGAGGCGGGCCCTCCAACAGCACTGGCATCAGACCGACCTCCGGCCCCTTTGGCGGTCGACTTGGCCGATTTGGAGTCGCCATTTGCATCTTCAGTATCATGCAACTGTGGGAATGTGGGCGAGGACGGCTCGGCCGCGGCTGGGGGGGACGGCGTTTGCGGCTCGGTGCATGAATCTCGCCGTATTGCGCTCTCTGGTGAGCCGGGTGGGAGTTCTGCCATAATAGGCACGCAGAGTTCTTAGAACATGACTTGCATGAAATCTCAACTGTTCCCTTACAGGTCGTAATTTGGGCACGGAGAGAGATGCGCTGCGACCGGCCGTCGTGCTCGTTGCGATGATGTCACCTGCAAGTTGTAGCGATCGTTCAAGCTGAGCTGTTGATGTCAGTCGCCCAGCTGCCCCACCTGACAAGACAATCAATCATCAATGTCACTGAGACCAGCCAATCGTGTCTACAGCAAGAGGGCGAGCGACAAAAAGTATTTGGTTTTCCGTGACATGGTAGTAATTTATTTGCTTCAAAGGATCAAAAATCTCTCGATGTTGAGAGGATTCTTCGTGCATCTCCGCTCCTATGAAGCCTGAGGCGACGAGTGCTCGTGGACGATGCTGGTTAATGCTCCTTGATCACATCATCCCGGACTCACTCCGATTCATAATTGCGACCCTAAACACCTTTCTTCGATTCATCCTCGTGGTATTTTTACCTCGCCAGTTTGCCGGGCGGGCCGTGGCACCGCTGCGCTGCAACCAACTTGTTATATACAGAAGTTCAGGGCCAGAGCTATCCACACACAGGGAAAACCAGAGCCGCGCCTGTACATTATACACGCTTCTATAGCCCTCAACACATTAAATCGCCTCATTTAATCCACTTCTTGCTCCTCTTTACCCGCCTGCTCGACTTGTGCCTTTTCAGCACTCTCTTCCTCTTCCGTGCTTGCCTCACTTGCCTCGCTTGGTTCGGGGTCGACCGCCGTCTCCGTCTCTCTCTTCGCCTGTTGCGGAGCACCAACGGATACCCTTGTTGCCGCGCCATCTACAACAGCAGTCGGCTCTAGTGCCGGTGCCGGTTCTTCTGGCGCGGGTGCGATCTCAGCTCGCAGATCTGGCAAGAACCGATCCACGCGCTTCCAGGTCTCATCCCAGATCTCCTTTCTCGCAGGGTCTTCAGTGGGGGGGACCAACACTCCGTTGCTCTCCATAAAGAGGATAACGTTCTTGAGGTTCTCACGAACCGCCTCCTCCTATAAGACAGTTAGCATGTTGCATCATCTCCGCGTCATCATCATGTGGAACTTACCAAAGTATCGCCTTGGCCGCTGTTCATGAGACGGTCCATAATTTCAATAATCTTGGTCCACAACGAAAGTAGCCCATCCCATTCAGCGAGTAGATTTAGGTAGTGTAAGAAGACATTGCATAGCAGCGACGTGGCCTGCAGACGCAACTTGCTCATGCCCTCGCGATCGGCTGAAAAGACCTCAGGCTTCAGCAAGCGAAGAATTAGGGGGAAGAGAACCTTGCTGAATATGGCTGTCCACTCCTTCGGGTCGCTAGTGGTCAGATCCGCGGAGAGGAGTGAGCGGTGCAGCGAAGAGAATGCCAACTGGCGAACCTCCCGGCATGGGTTTCCACACTGGTGCATGAGAGACTGAAAAATGGGTAGCCAATAAGCAGACCAGGCCTCACCGCTTTCCAGCTGCGATTGTTGGATGAGCTGCGGTACGAGTGAAGTCATGCTATAGAGACTTTCGATAGCCTTGCAGCCGCGCTCAACAGCCGCACTGTCAACCTTGGCTTCCTTGCGAGGCTGATCATGTCGCCGCCTTTCTTGCTCCACTCGCTTCTCAGACGAGGCCAGTGGGTTTGCGCTTGATGCAAACTGATCGAGTAGAGCAACGGCCGCCATGTAATTGTCTGCCATGATCGCTGGGGGGGAGCCAGAGGTCCCCTTCTCGAGAATCAAAAAGACCTGCGCAGCAGATTCGCGGCTAGTAGCGAGAACGCGCAGTGTTGCCCAAAAGTCAGGCGAAGTCATCATTTCGCTTCGCAGAGGACCTGGCTCCTCGGTACAGGCAGCCAAGCCATTGAGGATAGTACTTGAAGTCCTAGCAAGCACATCCTGTGGTAGACCTGAAATAGTGTGTAGTAATCTCGGGACGTTGACAATCTCGTGATCAAATCCATCTTTCAATATTCGTAGAGCGTAAAAGACGGCGCGCGAAACGGTGACAGCGTGCCATTGCGATGCATGGCGGAGGATACCTTGCACCGTTCGAAACACTTCCTCCGCCATTTCCTCAACGGACTCGGGGTCCCTGGTGGCCAGAAGCGTAGAGAATTCGAGAATATAAGCGACCGAAGGATCATACTTCGGTGGCCCTGTGGCCGCGGTATGCACACTGGGAGGAGGATTAGGCATATTGTCTTGCTTGACGCTCATGATGGTTGCGCTGTCATCGTCTGGAAGCTGCTCCAGAAGACCAGTAACAATCAGCTTCGTAGTAGCGATAGGGAGCTTTGCGATAGTGTTGAAGACATTCTCGAGCTTGCAGGAATTAATACAGTCGACTGTGCACAAAGTACTCTCCAGCTCTTCGTCAGATGGCTCGGGAGGATCGTCGGCAGCGTAGCTAGATATGTATGAGGTGAAAGCAGAGAAGAAGCCCGTATCCGACGAACGCGCACCGCGTTCAATAACCTGCGACGGTAACTGAAGAGGAATATCTGGCAATCCGAAACGGGGAAGGTCAGCTGCGCCAAATTGGGATGCCAGCGAGTTTGAGAAGAGGTTGACCCATATACGGATAATCTATGGAATGGGTTAGTCCGCGTACCATTTGGTACAATCGACGCCAAGACTTACGTGTTTCCAGCCGTTCTGAATAATATGCTCACTGCCGGTCACGACGCGGAAGAGAACGAGCGTAGCCAGCTGCGCACGGAAGTCACGGCCAAGCTTGACTGCCAGCTCGCTAACCATGACACTAGTCTCGCCCACCTGTACTTCCGTGTTCAGTGCGGTGTTGAAGGTGGTTTCTGATGCTAGTGTCGTCATATAGCTAAGACAGTACACAATCTGGTCCAGTGCCTCCACATTGTTGTACTTGGCTGCGATGCGGGCACATTCGTCGAATCCAGTCACTATCCTGGCGAAGACGGCGTCATCACTAGCAGACATGAAGACGTACGAAAGCGTAGATACAATCGGCCTCCAAGTTGCCGCGAACATGTCAGCGTCGTAAATATTCGTATCACAGACAACGAGATTGCCAGCCGACTCTGTCTTTAATAGAAGCTCTCTCCAAGCGTAGTCGAATCCATGCTGGTTGTCATGTTCGTCTGGCAAGATGATTTCGTTTGACTTGATTGACTGGTAAATGTCGGAAAGGTATTCAGGCGAAAAGTTCTTGCCATCATTAACGCCACGCAGATTTCGTGAGAAATCCTCAACAGTCATGCGCTTGTTGGCCTTGAGCGTTGGGTTATGCTGGTCAGTATTCAGCAAGATGATCGCATAGCTCAAGACGTAAGCGGCATCCTTGTTCGCAATCTGCTCCGGTGTATCACAGGTGCAGTATTTCTCCGAAAAACTCTCGACAATGTTGGCAATCAGCTGTGCTTCGCCAGGAAGACGGAAAGACTCCAACAACAACCGAAGGCCTTCGTCGAGGCGCTTTCCAGAAAAGTCAAAGAGATCCAAGAACTCCTTTAGAACCTTTTCGTTCCCCGTCTTGGAAAGATATTCACCAAGAACCGATTTGGATACTCGTGACGTCTCCTTCAAGAAAGCAGCGACTTCTGCGGCGTCCTGGGCGCTCCTTAGGATACCTTGCGCCTCTAGGTATCCAAGTCCATTCTTTGGTTTCTCATTGAACAAGCTCGTGCCTTTGATAATTATCTTCTTTCTCCGTCGCTGCTCCCGCAGAACAGCGGGGTCTGTATAACCGTCTGTGACAGGCTTTTTATCGAGTCTCTCAGCAACAAACTGAATGTATCTCAAGAGAGCATCGAGACAGAGTGGCGGGACACTTGTAGTGCTCCAGGTAGCAGAGTCGGGTAGCGCGTTGCGGGACAGAAGTCCAATCATATCCTCGCAGAGGTCAGCTCTGTCAACATCGCAGTCATAGTTGACAAAGAGCTCGGCCACAAAGGTTGGCATGCGCGAGAGAACACCGATGCTTTCTACCATGGCTTGTCTAGCATCCGGCTTACGTGAACCACCCTCCAGACCAAGTTTTTGTCTATCTTTGATAGCGACAGGTGTGGCACGACCGCTCCCACCTTGTGAAGAAGGGGGCTTCACAAGCTTTGGCGTTTCAGGAATGCCCGCGAACAGAGAAGCCTCGATACCCATGTCGCGAGGAATGGGAACGCTAGGGTGCAGGCAAGCCACTAGGTAAGACAGGAATAGCTCCTGCTGCAACTTCAAAACACCGCGGCATGTGGCAAGCATCGTGCCCGCGACAATGAGAGATTCTTGGAGGATGGCCATGTTGTCTGACCGAATCAGTTGAAAGAGATAAAAGCACAGCTTGTCCTCTGCGATGGTTGCTAGTGCAGGGTGCCGAGCAATAAACGGCCCAGCCACTTCGAAAGCAACATGAATAATCCGCAGCGCCATGACTCTCATGGTGTCGGTGTGATGTCTATCATTCGGGTCCAGGAAGTTGACTAGAACACGGAACAGCTCGCGGACGGAGGGCAATGAGTAAGGTTTCAGGTCCACCGACTCCGAATCATCGCTAGTTTCGCTCTCGTCATCGCCTTTGGTGACAATCGTAGCGGACGTATATTGTTTGTCTTGCTCAGGTTCGGTCACTTCGGGCTGTTTCTCGATCTCTTCAGGTATCGGGGTTGATGTCGAATCACGCTCTTCTGGAGTAATTGCGGATGTATGTGTGTCCATGTGCAAGTTATCATCCTTTTGGTCGAAGACGTCCGAGTTGTCGGTAATTTCCACGTCGAGGTGCTTGACATCCTCGAAAATGATCTGACACATCCTCACCATGGCTGCCTCGGCAGTCCTGCGCAAAACGGGGGAGAAACGCGGCTGGGAGCAAATGGCGAGTCCGCGTCCCATCATGTCACAGACGCTCTCGTCACTGAGTATGTCACCGCCTGGGCCGGACATCATGTCCTCCATGAGGTTGAGAATCATGAGAAGAACAACTTCTCCCTGCGCTGAATCGCTAACATCAAACTGGCAGTGTGTTACGGCAGAGGAGAGAGACTGCATAGCAAGCGCAAATCGTGGTGAGCTGGCGCAGACGAAGCCGTAGGCCAAGAATTTTCGAAGTGCTCCGAGGGCGAGGATCGTGATCGGCGCGGCGGTACCCTTTGCTTGGATAACGAGAAGGAATGGGGCGAGAAGTGCGGGCGCGTCAAATGTGCAAATGTCTACGGAGAAGCAGGTCAGTATGCCTCAACTCGAGCCATGAGGTCTGCCTGCATACCTCTAATGCCAGCAATATCATGACGCAAGGCGCCGAACCCCGAAATCATGGGGTCGTCCTGCATGCTCTTTCCCTTTTGGCCAAGGAGACCCCATCTTGTGTTTATCGTAAGGTCCTGGGTGTCCAGAGCAGTACCTCCTCCAGCCTGGGATTTGCGCCCGGGCTTGGGGCTGGAGCTCGGCGCACCCAGGTTGATGGGATTGGGATTGCCTCCAAGAATGGCCGACACAGACGAGTGTGGCGAGCGGGCGTGCTTCTGGATCGCCGAAGTAATCGATATGCATTCAGAGATGACGAGAGAAACGGGATCGACGGCGACCGAGACGGGGCGGCTTCGGTACTGCATCCGAGGCGCGTCAATGTGCAGAATCTCGGCCTGCAGAGGCGGTTCGGCGGGGAGGTTGGGCTGCATCGCTACGGACGGGAGCTTGGCATCGCGACTCATGATCTGTTCTGAAATGCCGCAGGGAAGACGGTGGCGTGTCAGCAACGGCGCGGGAGGGTGTGAAGAAAAATGTTGCAAGGTGGTCGTGGGGGGACAACAGGATCTCGGCGGCGACGAACAGAGACTCGTTCAGGGGCGGGGCGAGGTAGAAGAGGCCAACGGACCAGCTAGCGAGGTGGACAGAGAGTATGCTGTCACTCTTAAAGCATAAGAGAAGTGCCGCAAATCGTGTTAGGCACCAATGGCGGGTTGCTGACTGGTGAAGCCTCAGGGAAGCTTTGCAGTCCGGTCGTGCATATGTTGCAGCAGTAACAGAAGTAAACCTTGTTAAGCCGCTGGTAGTAATTGGCCCGCCCCGGTCTCCGCCTGGATCGGCGGAGCCTCATCGACAATACGTGTTAATATTTTTGGGCGCGCGCGGCTTACTAACAGGAGGCAGGCATGTGTGAGGCAGTGGCAGAAGCGGACGCGTGCATACTCAATACATTTATTAAAAGATGGATAAAAGTTATTCTTCCCGGAGTAATAGACAGAGCTCGGGGGTTGCGTTTCAACAATGTTGTATCATGGGTATGGTACGCTCCATACCTGCTTAAGAGCAAACTCGTACTAATGCCAGTCAACAACATTTCACTTCAGAAAATCAGTTCAAACGACAACAAAAGCTGACATTTCAATAGCCAGCCTAGACTCTAAATTTCCAAACCCGTCTCGCCGTCATCCCCGTGTTTTTGTCCCAAAAAAACGCCGCTGAAATAGTGAGCTGTTGGCAGAAGCCATCTGCATCCGGTGCCAGTCGAGGCTTGAATCAGCACACGACAACTCGCTCAAATGCGAGAATATAGATAGTACTGTACAAAAAAATAAGAGTAATAAAAAGAGAAGAAGATGGAGAAGGAGCCGCCACTAGCACGTGGCCGTGACTCTCAGATACCGCAACCTTATCCTTTATGCCAGTAATGAACCACCATATCGCTGCGTCAAACCAATAACACCATTTATTTGCCGCCGGCGGCGTCTGCGGCCTTGGCGGCCGCACCCTTGACCTCTTCAGCTGCCGCACCCTTGACCTCTTCTGCTGCCGCACCCTTGGCCTCCTCCGCTGCCAGGCCAGCCTTGCGTTGGGACTCGAGACTTTGCATCTGGGCCTTATCTTGCTCCCACTCGCCTTGGCTGTCACCAAAGGTTTCCTTAAGCTTTTGCTCTTTGACCTTTTTCTCTTCTTCTTCTTTTTCCTTGAGTTTCCGCTCAGCCTCCATTTCCTGTGGGCATTCGTCAGTCACTCTCTTCATGGTCTCCGTATAGAGTTTGCAAAGTATATGTACCTCCATGTGCTTGATATCGTCCACACTAGGCTCGTAAAGATGCCAAATGGTGTAGTGGGGTAGCCCAACCACGGAAAACTTCATTTTTCGTGCCATCTGCAGCTTTGGTTAGTATTTCCAGACAGGAACAATCTAGAGAGTCCTACCTTGCCGAATCCTTCGGTTTCAGCGTGTTTTTCAAAGCTGAAGGCTGGGAAGTGGACACCGCTGCGGAAGACCTTGGCCTTGGCCAAGATGCTTACACCGCCCACTCCGTCGATTTCCATCTCCATGTCGGGGTCACCATACGGATCACGCAGATACGCAAGATGCGGTCTCCAGGTAGCATATTCCGCGTATCCCTCTACAATGACAGCATCTTCGTCCAAAGTGTCAGCTAGCGCGAGCGCCGTCTCGGACTCTTGCCAAGAGTTCAAATCGTAGGGCTGTTCGCCGCCAAGCCAGTCGGGCAATGGCCGCCAAACGTCTAAATTATGGTCAACACCAACGTTGAGGCAGCATCCGTGCTTTCAGGTTGACTCACTGGGTACGATGACGTCCTTGTTGTGACGCATCAAATCTTCGAGGATGGTGAAAGGGGCAGTCTCAACATCGACATCACGCCAATAAACCCATGAGTGGTAGGGTCGCAGTGCGGCGCTGAGAAGCCAGTTTCTTGCCTGAGCCATGAGTTTCCTACGGCTAGCCTGGGCGGCGAAACCGTGACGGCTTTCGACATCTTGGTTAACCTTTTGGCCAAAGTCCTTCTCAATGATCGAAATTTCGCCATAGGGCTGTCTGGGGTCTTCGTCATTCTGAATCGAGTTCATGTTGTCGACCAGAAGCTGAAGCGTGTTGTCTTTAGAGTCAGACACCAAAAAAGCAAGATCTATCAAGTTGTGCGGGTAGGTGAAGTTGCGCAAATGAGAGAAGAACATGGGCAGATGCGCAGACGCGTCACGGAGTGGGACACAGAGAAGAATACGCTCCTCTCTCTCCCAACCTCGAGCAGTCCCGCCAACAGTGTTCAGGTCGTAGTATCGCACAGTTTCGAGGTCGAAATCCGGGTCACCGCCCAGGAAGCCGAGCGAAAGGACAGACGCGAGAGAGATCGAGGGTCCGAAGAACAGAAAGAGTGCTGTGATGAGAACAGCCGCAATGCCGATCCGAACGAAAAGCTTTCTGCGGCGGCGAGACGCAGGGCCAGACGCGCGAGGCTGGAATCTTCACCATCGCAGAAGCAGTGATTAGCGTGTGCCACGTCAATGGAAGCCAGGGCGAGCATTCGATATGCTGTGCAATATTGAAAGCGCTCACTTACCTATGCGGCGAAATATCAAACGTGTCACCCCTTGGGTAGCCATTGGCGAACCCTCCGGAATGGTGTCTGGGCATCATCGCGACGGCTAGTTCAGGAGAAATGTCGAGAGCTTTCGAATTATTACCCCTTGCTGGCGCGCAAGGCGAGCGGCGCGACGTGTGCGGGCTCCGGCCAAGTCGAGATATCCAGGGGCGAAGGCAGCAGTTGCTCACCGGCTACTCGGATCAATTTGATGGAGGAGTGCACGCGCAGAGATGCGTGGCTTTCTGTATGCACTGGCAATGTGCGTTGAGACGATTAAAGGGCAAAAGGCCTTGGTGTCTAAACTCAATCGTGGCAGCTTTTGCCAGGTGCCGCTGCGCTGCTAATTTAGTGCCGCCCTGCTTAAGGGGCCAAAGGCGGGTACTCAGAGAGTTTCTGAAGGTACCTCGGAGGGGTCCTTGGGGTAGCTGGAAATACTAGCTCGAGCCGACATATGCAAGTACATTGGCAATGAACTTGAAGTACCATCAGCTTCCCTCCCAGAAGGCGCCCTTGCCCAGAATTCTCTGGTCAGGCAGCCCCTGAAGCAGCACGAAACTGGCGCCATGCCGGGCGCCGATCCACTGAGAGCCGCTCCCTACCAGGCTGCGCTAGTTGATGTGAAGTCCTCGCATACGAAGTCGTTGCACGCTTTTGATTCAAGTATGTCGATCAGTTGCCCAACAAACCGTGCGGGCAGAATAAGTGCACAAAGGAAACATTGTACGAGAGACATGCGGCCATTCACGGATTATCATGGTTGTCAATTTCAGAAGCGGATGATTTTCAACACTAAATATCCATTCTCGCTCACGAGCGAGCGCTGATAATACCACCATTATTTACGGGGTTATGCGTCTTCTCAATTCAAAAGTGGCATCTTCGTCGTCGATACAGTCCAGTCTACAAGGTTCGATACTCTGGAGCATGTCTGATCACAGCTCTGTGCCACAGTTAGCAAACCATGACTACCACACAGTTGTACAAAAATATATTTGCAAACACTTTGATCAGACAAGCCGGTGTACTCAGCCATCCTAGCCGTCCCAGCGCAGCAATGTCTCCAGAACAGAGTCAAAGCCGAACCGAGCACAGAAGTAGAATTACGCGAATTAAGCAACTCCACAACTTTCCTCACAGACTGAAAAAGTCTGCTCCAGTGCGGGAGGGCTGACTCGGCCAGGATGGATTAGTAGAATGGATAGAACTTGGTGTCATCAGGTCGTGCGGTGGCTGCCAAGGGGCAAAACATGGCTGGGGATGCCTACCTGGTACGTTATTGCTGCTCTTCGGACATCGTTTGGGACAATCTACATCTTCGCCATGGTTAGCCAGTGTCAAAATATGTTAGGGCAAGCAAGGATAGAGTAGGCAAATGTATCAGAGATCTTGGTATGGTAATTAGGAGTCATCAGGGGTTCAGAAGCAGAACTGATTGATAATGTTTCTCATCACGGACAGTGTGGCCGGAGCTGGGTTGAAAAGGGAGGCGCGGGATGAAGATTTGACTTACCATAGGGCCAAATCTGTGCACTGGCGGTTAAAGGCATTCAGTACCTGCCACGTAGTCCTGTTTCGACGATTAGCTTGAGCGAGGTGTACTGTGGTACGAGGCCACCCAGCGCTGGCGTCGAGAGGAAAGTGGTCAGATGGTAGTGCATGTTGTTCAAACGCTCAGGTGTTCGCGGGAACAGTGGTGTGAGTATCATCATTTGGCCTCAAGACGCGAGCACCAGAGGTCGTCGTGAGTGCGAAAGCTTACAATTTCACAAGAGGCATATTCGCTATGCTCAGCGCAGCAGCAGCATCAGCTCTTGCGATCGCCAGTCACCTGTCAAGCTTCGATCTCGACATTTTCATAGCTGATGGCTGTCATGAGAGACTGTGCAGAGTGCAGCGTTGAGAATGCAACGAGTAGACGAAGAGACGAAGAGACGAAGAGAAAAACTCGATATAAATGTGAGCGGCTAGCCAGCCATGGGCTAAAATATGGGGCGACTCGTTATGTGCATACGCAGAATTTTTGGCAAACAAGCTGCCCCGCTAAGTAGATATACTTGTGGGATGCGCGAAGCTCTAGTTTCTTACAATGAAGGGCTGGAACAGGGATCAAACCCCAAGCTCCAACTGAAAGACACTACTCTGCCATTATATATAACATACAATGGCCGACAGAAGGAGAGTCAATGGACCTTCAGGCGCCACCGTGCCCCCGGTATACGACGATGAAGATCTAGTTTCCACGCAAAGAAGCCGGCCCGAGACTGGCATCAGAGCTATATGTGAGTTCTTCCGTAGGAACTAGAGCTATGCAACGTATGCTTACTCGCTAAAGACCTGAAAACTGGCGTAACGCCTTCTGCGTCCGGCTCTGCCTACCTAGAGTTTGAGCCTAGAGAGGGCTCTTCGGGGTCTGGCATGAAGCTCACCTGCACAGTACATGGCCCGAGGTCACTACCACGATCAGCTCCATTCTCGCCTCACATGGTCCTATCTACACATGTCAAATATGCCCCATTCGCGACGAAGCAGCGGCGAGGCTATTTACGCGACTCGAGTGAACGGGATCTCAGCACTCATCTGGAGACGGCGCTGCGTGGTACTTTAATTGCCGATCGCTGGCCCAAGAGTGGTGTGGACGTTATTGTTACCATTATTGAAGGTGAACTTACACGTCAAGCTGCCCAAGACCAAGGAATCGAGAGCTGGGAAATGATGAACGTGTTAAGTGGCTGCATTACAGTTGCTTCAGCGGCGATTGCGGATGCTGGCATTGACTGCGTTGACACGGTGGCCGGCGGTGTCGCTGCCATGGTGACGAAGGATGAGAATGATGAGCCCACCATTGTGCTTGATCCCGTACCTTCTGAGCATGGGCAGGTATTGGCAGCTTGTTGCGTGGCATATCTGCCTTCACGAGATGAAATCACAAATCTCTGGTTCAAGGGGTGCCTACAAACGTCAAGCGCAGAGTCACAACGACTTCTTGTATCAGGAGCAGTTCATGCAAGCAAAGGCACGTGCCAGGCTATCTCAGCATCACTGGGTGAGGCCATGACTCCTCAATGAAGAAGCTCTATCCGAGTACTGCAGCCTTTTGTGGCTGCGCAGCTGTTGCCACAAAATTTGTAATATACCCAATAGACTCATGGAACTCTCGGAATCTTGTGTGGCCCAAGTAGTGAGAAAAGCTTCAATGTGTAACCATGGAATCGCAGCTGTGAAACCAAAGGTACTCGGTGACCAGTGACAGTATTTGTACACACAAAGCAGATACCTGCATAGAGGAGATTAGCAAAAGATACAACTCGCTATCCATGAATGGCCTGCATCCCAAGATAACTACCAGTTGTCGGGTTTATTTACTGCAGATTATTCCGAAACAGCCGTCGTTTGGTGCCAAGCCTGGTTTGTAACTAAAGGTTCTCACTTTTGTACCACTGAAGAAAGCTAGCTGAGGAAAGTTCATGTAAAATTATGAGCTTCCACAGAAAACCGTTTAATTCAGGGCAAAGGCAATATTCGGTTCTTCTCGTGTGTTTATGCATTGTCAGCCCTGTATTTACTGGCTAGCGTTGGTGGCTTGGCCGCTTGGCCACAGTACGTCACAGGGCGGAACCGCTGGGCGAGGCCAGAATCACGCCTACAACAGCACGCGAGGTCCCCGGCTCCCAACGGATCTCACCACTTGCATCAGCGCACCGTCGCTGCCGTTCTCTGGCTCATCAGCTTTGACTATTATCCGAAATACCCTGCGCCTCCTCCGCCTAACACCGGCCGATTACCATATACGAAACCGATACAGTGGCTGGGCCACGCCGCGCCGCCGGGCTCGGAACATTCGCGTTCGCTCAACGGAAATGGAGCAACCGCCTCTCGTGCAGCTGGCCCCCATCGCCAACTTGGGAGGATGGTACAACCTCTCGACTTGGGCCACCAACATGACTCGCTATGTGCCGTCCTTTGACGATCTGGTCTGGGCAGGACCCCGAATTCTCGATAAGCTCGGTTCCTACCTCGCCTTGGCCGACCAGCCTAATCTTGCGCCTAATGCCGACACCGGGCTGCTCGGGACCACGTCTACTGCCGCATATAACATCATGGACAGCAATACGTCACCCGCCGCCGCGGCTGCACATGATTCACCAGCATTTCTATCCTTCGAAAATGCACGCAACTTGGGGAGTGTCTTCTCCTACGCTACCAGTCGATGGGCCATGTCGTGCATCGCCATGGCCCTCATACTAAACCGAACACATATTTTCGCTGCCACTCGTCGCAGACTACGTCTTCAATGGAAACTGAGGTTGCTTCTTCGCTTCTTCCCCATCGTCTTCCTCATCATGCAGGTTCGCCGTCTACTCATGTCGATGCAGTGCCAGACCTCGGCCGACTTTGCTGAGCTTCGATGGGGAGATCCCACCAAGCACTCGCGCTTTTTACATGCGCATTCAAACCATTTTTTGAATAGCCTGAGCTCTGCTCTACTCTTAGGTGCAACTGATGAACAGTCCTGTGCAGCTGTTCAGATGATTCCGGTAGCGGGCCAAGCCACGTCCACATTGGTTGGCTCCCTGTCAGTTATGTGGCCTTTGTTTGCTACATTCTGCTTGAGCCACTTTATCGAAACCGTGTCTTGTGCAGTTCAAGGCAGGACACTCTCGGCGGAAACCGGCATGACGCTGTTCGAGCAATCGCTCGCCTTTGCGGAAGCCGATGCTACGATCAGTAACCAGCTTGCACAACTCAATTGGGAGTCCAGGCCACAAGCAGGATCAACTGGCTCTACAGCCAGTACCGGTGCAGTCGTTAATCTGCTAACGAAGTCAATGTTGATAAAGCGAGTCAACACACCCCCGGAGGTGCTACTCGTCGCCTTTTTATCTGCCATGACACATCTCACGAGTCATTTCCTGGGCCTGTTTGATCTACAGGCCAAGTTTCGACTCGTCAATACTGGTTTCTGGGGTATTTGCTTCATGGGGAGCATCGTTTGGAGCGCTTTCTCTTTTGACCTCGACGATTCCGCTTCCCAAGGCCTCTTGCGCTTTCCTACCGTTTGTATCATTGGCTTCGTGCCTCACGTTCTGGTGTTCGTCGGCATTGTGCTTTGTTTCATCATATACGGCCTCGCTCTACTGCTATCCGCACTCTCTCCACCGCCCAACCAGGAGCGTTCTTCCATGTCGTTTAGACAGCGGCTCATCTACGCTCACGAAAACATGCAAGCAAACGTTTCCTTTGCGGAAGTTAGAATCACGAGAGACATGGATTTCTACACGGCTCTTCTACGTACTGGTTTTGCCGCCATCACAATGGCTAGCGAAGCTGTCTACTTGAATGAAGACAACGGTGTGAACTTGAAGCGCCACACATGGCTTGAAGAGGCTAGATATAGAGAAGCCGAAGAGATGCAGAGGCAGTGGGTTGGACTTGGCCATGCTAGCTCACAGTATGACCGCATTGGAGCCATTGGACTTATTCCTGTCAAAGATGGCCCGATATTGGCACCAAATGGCTATGCTCGGGAAAGGGCTGCACAAAAAGTGCCCAAAGGGCGAGCGGAGCGCAGTTTCCGGGCTGGTGTTGGTGCAGCTGATAGAAGCTCCCGCTGGGTGATGGCACTCGACTTTTTCCTCAGCATTATCAGACTGTCCTGTCGTGTCTCTGCCCTGTTGATTCTATGGCTGCTTAAGCTAGTCCGCGTCAGACAACCTGGCTGGCTGCTGAGACTCGCAGGTAGACCAGAGTCCGTCAAGGAGGTCCAAAAACCAACCTCAACAAGCCAACATGCAACCCGCACCATCCCCATCAGCCGCGAAGGCCGCTTCTCCAGGAGCGAAGGGATCGACGTCGAGGCTGAGTTTCGCCGCATCGGGCACAATGGCAACGAAGAGAACTTGGACAAAGACTTGTACAGTTACTTTGTGGAAGGAGGCTGGTGGGGTTCCGGGGACTCCAGCGGTGATTACACCCCCAACTATGCCGACGAGGATGATTGGGACGCCACCAGCGTCATTTCCCAGTCGACATCGGCCGACGAGAGCGATGGCGAAACGGACAGAAACCCGTGGGAGCCGGCTGACGCTGATGACGACGATGGCCAACGGACGCCCACGCAGCGAGCGTCTCGCCGGACACGTGAAAACACGCCGATGGCCGACAGCCCGATGGGCATGTCCGATCTAGCCCGCCTCCTACGGCCCACCAACCGGGAGGAGCGCGAGGAGGCCACCACGCTCGCGGCGCACCTGGTCAGCGACGGCGTCATGACGCGCGGCCGCTTCCGCCGCCTCGAGCACCTCCGCAGAACTAGCATCCTGACGAGCCCGCGCCGGCCGCCCACCGCCTCGGACATTGCCACACCTGCACCTCTGCCCGCCTCGTTGTCCGCGCCCCAAGCGCTCACCCGCGACATCCGCACCAAACTCGACCCGGACGAGGAGGAGACGCTACTCGAGCAGCTGCTGCTGTCGCGCCGCGAGCAGGCCCAGTCGCCGCCGCAGACGCCGACTAGGAGAGGCGCCGCCGCCGGGGCGTCGTCAGACATCATCACCAGCACAGGCGCCGAGGAACAGGGCCCGTTGTGCGTCGTCTGCCAGAGCGCCGCGCGCACTATTATCGTATGGCCCTGCCGTTGCCTTAGTCTATGTGATGACTGCCGCGTGTCTCTGGCTATGAACAACTTTGACAAGTGCGTCTGCTGCCGTCGCGATGTTCTGAGCTTCAGCAGGATCTACGTCCCGTAAATGTGCAGGGGGGGTGAAGCGCAACAGTATGTGTATTCGTTGTTACGATTTCTGATACGACATACGGTATTTGTTTTGGTTTCCTTTTCGCGACTAGATGAACATAGGTTTGGTCATGTGCCAATTTTTCTGGTCTTCTCTGGAGATGACCATGTCAATGTTTGTAACGAGTTTGATTATTGGGGGTAGGATTGCGAAGCGTTTTATTAGTTTATTTGTTCAATTCTGCTCAACGGGGGTATCTTTTTCTTATATCCTTCCATCTATTCCAAACCACCCTGCTCGTACAAAAAACCCAAAGCTCACTATGTTGTGAAGAATAGTTATTACATGGCAGCCCATTCCAAGCAGAACGTTCTGACTTGGGGCTCGTGATCGGCCCCCTCGGCCGCGGGTTGCTCGCCGCCAAACAGAAACGCCTTCTTGACGGCCGTGGCGAGTCGGCCGGCGGCAACCACGTCCAGAATGGGGATGGGCTCGTCCCAGCCGTACTGGCTGGCCATGAAATGCGCGTGGAAGCGCAGCGGGTCGCCGGGGTACACGCTGTATTGGGCGCCGAAGCGCAGGCCGGGCGTCATGTGGAAGCCATTGCTGAGGAGGTGCCTGCACAGCGGCGCGGCCTCGTCCTGCGAAGGCGCGTCGACGCAACGGTACGCGCCGGCTGGTACGAGATCGGTACTGGAGGTGGGCGTGATGCCCATCGTCTTTACTTGCGGCAGCGCGGTGGCGGCGCCGTCTGCCTGTTCTGGCGACTGCGCGGCGACGGCTGCCGCCGCAGCCGCGCCCTTGTTGTTCTTGCCTCGCTTGAGCTTATTGGCGACCTCGGCGGCGCGCTGCGCGCTGCGCTCGGCGAGCGCGGCCTGCGCGGCCTCCTTGTGCCTGCGGAGGGACTCTACGTACGCCTGCCGGCGGGCCGGGTCCCGGTACGACGGGAGGGTGTCCCGGTGCGCGGCGGCGCCATCTACGACATACGCGGCGCCCGTGCGCACTAGAGTCTCGACCTCCTCGGGCCGCAGCTCCACGGGCAGGCCCAGAAAAATGTTTTGCGTCGGCTGCTGCGGCGCCGTGCCGACGAGCACGCCGTTGGTGTTGACATGTCGGCGTAGCGCGGCAGCGGCCTCGGTGTCAAAGACCAGGTAGCGGCCGGCGATGCGGGCGACGCGCACAGGAAACGGTGCCTGCAAGGCAGCCATTTGTCTCTGAAAGAAAAAAACCAATGACCATGTTAGCTGGTTTGTTCACTGCTCTGAAGCGCCAGAAGGAGAATGGAAGGTGGTTTGAGTGGGAAGAGTCATAAGTCGTCTTCGTAATTGTTGAATGTGTCATCACAGAGGTTCAGTGGATTGACAGATATTCATGGTGATAATCATGTAGATTCCCAGGGGTACAGATTGGAGAGGCATTGTGCAATAACAATAGAAAACATGAGGAGAACGTACCCTGTGCTAACCCACGTCCTACGCGAGGATTTATCGTGGGACTGTTCGAGAGGAAAAGCTGGTGGAAGTTGTAGGTGAACAGCTAGTTTTTATTTGTGCCAGAAGTGGATATGAAGGCGGTCTACCCTTCTAGGCTTGATATGCGTATAACGGGGCGACAGCATTACGTGCCCAGTGGTTGGCGGGCGATAGGTGGCAGCAATTAGTTAGAATTCAAGAGACTTTTTCTTCTTCTCAGCTTCGGTGTTTTCTTTGCCTTGCTCTTCGTCCTCTCCCACAGGCGGTAGGCTGTATGGAGTGATGCTGAGGCCGGTGGAAGCGCTGAGCTTGAACGACAGGTCCTCGCGCCGCCAGCCTTCGTCCAGGCCGCCTCCCCGTTCGTGGAAGATGGGCAGACTATGCACGCGCACGAGACCCTGCGCCTTGTCTTCGCTGGTCGGGTCGCGGCTGACTTGTATTTGGTGGCCGAGTGGAACCAATTCGAGCACGCCGTCGCAGAGATGCTCGGCCCACCGGGTCAGGCCGTTGGCTCTGGGATGCAGCGAGATGGGCAGCGTGGCGACAGCGGTCAGCCGCGTGTGGTGCTGGCGCAGAAGAGCGCGGAGACGGTGGAGGAATCGCAACACTTGTTCCGGATTGCACGCGTAGGACGGGTACAGAGTTGGCGACAAGAGGCTGGGGACCACTACCCTATGGATTGTAGAGGGCGGCGAGCTGGTCAATTTCGCGGCGACGGACGCGAGAAAGTCTCGAAAAAACGAGGACGGTGGTGAAAATGCATTCACAATTGGGAATCCAAAGAGTTGTCCCTTGACATCACTGCTCTCCAGCTTCTTTGTGAGATTAAATGTATGGCAGAAGGCAGCAGCTGTACTTTGTTGGGGTGAAGGAGTTTGCGTAGGGTCTGCGTCGTGTTAGCATGGCAATTTTGCATGAAAAAGAACACGAGGAATGTTCAACTACCTCTAGATGGCGAGACTCTATTTCCTAAAGCCTCGTACCGCCAGGCAATCTTCATTTTGCTGTCCGACGATGATTCGGCCTTGGCAGTCTTTTCTTTGCCATCAGTACCCAAGCCAGGCAGCTCTCGACGCCATGAATCGTCGAAACCGAGAACGTGAACATGATGACCTTGAACCAGGCCCTCGGCAGCATAATAGCGCAGCAACATGCCGCCGAAATCGGTTGTGCCACTTTCTTCGATGAGAAGCGAGGTGCCCATGGGCAGGCCGGCATGGCCCGCGAGCAGCTGATCCAGCGACTGCGTGCCGGACGAGGTGGTGAGGCGCCCGTCGTGCGGCGACGGACGAGTACCTGGTGGAAGTGACTTTTCTACTTTGGCGACTGCTGGAGTTCGGGGGTTGCCCAGCACAACGCCTCGCTTGCGAAAGGACATGGTGGGCGGAGGCGCAAAATTTGAGAGGTTGAATGGTGCGGCGTAGTTCAGAGTAGGGAAACGGCTCTGTCGTCGGGAAATTCTGCGGGCTCGGAGAATTGATATATATAAGAGAGGAATGCGAAAATACCGACAAGGGAGGCCAGCCAAGTGTACGAATAGTTGCTGTGTCTAGTATCTCCAAGCTGTGAGTTGTGTTGACAGGCAGGTGTTGGTGCCCACTCGACCTGTGATGGAGCGGGTATGCAGTAATACGACTGGAGCATCGTAGCATAGCTGCATTTAACATTGAGAGATGGGCATAGAATACTCATGTCAAGGGATTATTTTACATTTATATATTGAGGACTTTTATTCGACTGCTCGGACTGCAGGAAGGTAGTTAGTTATGCTGGTGTATATGGCTCTGGGTAAAGCATGCGAACCGAAATTCGTCGGTAGGGGATCAACTTATTTCTGGTAAAATCCATAAATAACCATTTAGTCGTTCTTATTGGGAACGAGAGCTGCTAGCTGGACCGACATTTTTGGTCTTAATTTATCTTTGTCTCGTTGTGTGTACTAAACATTAGCAATTTTCCTCCATATTGCGGCGTGCATGATATGCATGTATCGCAGCGCCGCCCCGCGACCGCCTCATTGTGCCCCTCCAGTTTAATTTTCTGCCACTTGGTGGCAGAAACGAACCTCGACAGCTTCTTCAACCATACCCCAGAACCGCCCAACGCCCGAATCGCCGCCGCCCATCGCCTCTCCCTATCCCTCCCGATCCCTATCCGCTCTTCCAAAGCAACACATACCCACACACATACAACAATGTCGGGCGCTGGCGCCGGCGGCGACGCCACCCTCTTCGAGGAGAGCTTCACCATTACCGAGTACGACCAGTCCAAGTACGACCGCGTGGCGCGCATCTCGTGCACGTCGGGCGACTCGCAGACGGTCATGGTGCTCGACATTAACATGGAGCTCTTTCCGTGCGCTGTCTCCGACTCGCTGCACGTTGTCCTCAGCACCACGCTGTCGCCCGACGGCGCCCGCGACGACGACAAGGGCTGGCGCGACGTGGGCAAGGGCGGCGACGCCCCGGCGACGCTTGCTGATTTGTACGACTACGTCTGTTACGGCAAGATTTACAAGTTTGAGGAGACGTTTGACGGCGCGACCATGTAAGCTGCTGTAGCTTCTCTGACTCGAGGTCTGCGTACTAATAATTTGTCCTAGTAATGCGTACGTTTCTTTCGGCGGCCTGCTCATGTCGCTGCAGGGCCCTGTCAAGAAGCTCACCCCTCTGCGAGTCGACAACGTATACCTCTTGATCAAGAAATAGACAAATTCAAAACCCGAGACGAGAAAAAAGTATTTAAAGGAGAGAATATCGGCGTTTCTATTTGGCATTTTTGCGTATACTTTTTAGCATATTGGGTCCCTGTCTCTTCACACTTTCTAGACGGACTTATTTTCCACACCATTAAACCAAATCTCAAACCCAGCCCTCGCCCGTGACCCCTGTGCTCACGCACCTTACCAGTTGCCCCAGTGTGGCCCCGGGAACGGCAGCTCCCTGCGCATCCTCTTTTGAATCTCGGCCAGCTGCGGCTCCTCCTCGACCGTCAAGATGCCGTGGCGAATAAAGAAGTCCAGCATCACCACTCCGCAGTTGGTCTTGTACTCGCCGGCCGCCAGGTCGCGCTTGATCGTGTCCACGTCGCAGAGGTAAAACTCGTCGACCTCGCCGTCCTTGGGCTGCGGCACCACGTCCGCCGGCAGCCGCAAATCGTACGCCCACTCCACCTCGGGGTAGACGAAGCCAGCCTCGCCGTTGTTGGGCCCGTCGGTAACGTATATGTACGTGATGATGCCCACGGGCGTGGTGCCTGCGCGCACCACCGCCTCAGGCAGGCTCGCTTCCTCGTCGGCCTCGCGCACGACGCACTCGAACGGGTCCTCGCCCGTCATCAGCCCGCCCGCGACCGTATTGTCTAGCATGCCGGGGAAGGTCGACTTGTCGGCGGCGCGGCGCGGCACCCACACGCGCAGGCCGTGTGGCGCCGCCGCGTCCTCGACGTACGCCGTCAGGTGCACGCCGTAGCGCACGGCGCCCAGCAGGCCCACGGCCGCGCGCTCCACGCTGAACAGCAGCTCGCCCCGACGCCCGTGCACCGGCCACGGCTCGCCGCGCCAGCCCCGGAGCAGCGGGAAGACGTCGCGCTCGCGCAGGTGCTGCGTCAGCGCGGCGACGGCGGCGGTGCGCGCAGGCTCAGTGGCGAGGGCTTGGAACATGCGCAGCGTGCGCGCCGTGCGGTCCACCTGCATGTGGCCGGTCAGCTGTTCGGGCAGTTTGGCGAACTCGTCGACGACGCGGTCGAGCACGTAGCCGATGGGGTACTCGCCGCCGGCGTCGCGCCAGAGCAGGGTGAAGAGAACTTGGCCGTTGATGGTGATGGGGCCGTCCCCGTATGGGAAGCTGTTCGAGTCAGCGCAAGTGCCTTCGTTCGTATTCGAAGATACTACAGTGCTCAAAGAAAGACACTAAAATAATCTTGAGGAATTAGGTCTGCCTTACCCATCAGTATCGTTCACGAGATCCAAGTTGGACTTCATGTTGCCGGTTTGCACGAGATTCCGTATGTCGCCGCACTCTCAAGTGTCTCTGCTGGAAGACTATATAAGACCAAAGCTTTCAGCAATGTTAGGAAATTTGAGGATTCAACCACCGAGAACAGAGTGATGAAAGTGTCTGGGGACATGCAGGATTCTAGCGCAGTCAGGCTGAATGGTGGCCCGAGTGGAGCAGAGGTAATGTTTTGTGCTCCATGAACCTCGAACAACCACGATGAGTTGCCATGCGGAGAGGCACGAAACTCGAGAAATTTATTCGAGCAGATTCAGTGAGATTGGACTTGGACTTTTTAAACACTGGAGCATCATAATCACACATAATCACAGTACGGCCGGTGCATATAGACGTAGTCGACATGTCTCTGAGATTCGATACTGAGCAGCATTTCAATACCAGATTTTCCTTCATGAACTTCGTAAATCACACCACTGCTTTTGTGTTTTCGTTCTATAAATCATGATTTTTGGAAACTTTTATGTGGCGAAGCTTGGCTCGCCTGTCTGCTTTACACAAATCGGCGCCAGTTATAGCCTTGGTTCATGTATTGTCCCGAAACTGTCGGAACTTTGCCGTGGGCGGGTATTCTTTAGCCAACACGGCTTTAGTTGAGAATCTTCTCCGTGCACTTGATACTGCTAAGTGTTAGTCTCGCCCTCTACCACGGAAGCAATCAACCTACCCATATTTTTCGTCGAGCTCCTTCATGATGGGGCCATTGAGCTTGCCGTTCATGGGAGCAAGGATACCGCGCTCGGAGATGGTACCATTGAGAACCTGCTGAACGGCTATTCTTTTTGTCAGTAATTCGTTTGAGGTGACAGTTTGGCGTGATACATACCGACAGCTCCAGGAATACCGACAAGCTTGGCCATGGCCGAAGGGCCACCGGAGCCAATGGGAGCACCGTACTCGCATAGAGTGGAGGAGATGGTGTTCTTGCTGCCATCCTTGTTCTCGACCTCGAACATGTGTTGGAGGAACTAAAGAGTAAGCATATAATATGATTCGAATTCGCATCATGTACGTACGACCATGTCACGCTCACCCTCCTGGAAGGTCATCTTGTCTTCAAGAGTAGCGCAGAGGGTATCGAGAGGGTTGCCGCGGGGGGTAATCTTGGTGTTGGAAAAGATTCCGACTAGAAGAAATGTCAGCAGAGCTCACGAACAACGCACGGCAGGTACATACGCCACTTGAGGTCCTTGATAAGCTGGTTCTTGACCTCGGCCGTTTTGAAGGTGGTAGCCTTGGCCGAAATGGCAGCGACAAGGTCATCCTCGCTGCCGGACTTGGCACCGGCAACCTTGGCAAGAGCCTCATTCCAGGGGATAGCCTCCTTGAGGAAGTCCTTGGGCTGGTCGTCGAGGAAGCCAATATCGACAAGGGTCTTGATGAAGGGAGGGAAGCCAGCGTAGCGAAGAGTACCACGGACGCAGGTCTGGGCCTCGGGGATGTGGTAGCTAGATATCATGTGAGCGGACTCTTGGGCACGCGGGCTATCCGCATTACATACCGCTCGAGGTAGCCGGAGCTATCACGGTTACCGTAGGCGACAAAGTTGAAGCCAGTGAAGCCGGTGTGGTAGGTCTTAGCCGTGTCCATGAGGTCAAGGCCAGAGATCTCGACAATCTTGCCGTCTTCGACATACTTGGCATTGTTCTTGAGGGCGAGCAGGACGCCGCGGGAGCTCCAGCTGAACTTGTAGCCGAGCGGGTTGTCCGAGTTTTCGGGGGCGGTTAGGCCGCCGCAGAAACTCTTGAAGGAGAGGATCTTGCCGCCTTCATTGTGGACGCGCTCAATGAGGTCGACGGCGTAGAGGTGGTCGATGCCGGGGTCGAGGCCAATTTCGTTCATGACGGTGATGCCGGCGGCCTTGGCCTCGGCGTCGAGTTCCATCATGGCGGGCGAGACGTACGAGGTGGTGACGACGTGCTTCTTGGCCTTGATGGCGGCCTTGATGACGACGGCGTGGAAGGTGTACGGGATGAGGGAGACGGTAAGGTCGTGGGCGGCTACGGCGGCCTCGAGGGCGGCCGTATCGTTGACGTCGAGGCTCACGGCCTTTGTGTTGGTGTAGTTACCGGCGAGGGTCTGTGCCGTGGCCAGCGTGCGGCAGGCGACGGTAACTTGGATGCCGGCCTTGGAGAGGACTTCGACGGCGGGGGTGGCGACGAAGCCGGAGCCGAGAATGAGGACGGACTGAGACATGACGAGAGTGGTTTCTTTTGCAGTAATTGAATGGACGCAAAAGGAGAAACGAAGAAGTGATGGAAACAAACAAAAAAAGTTGTTACTCGAGGGGCACAATTCATTCACCTTCGCTCCGTACCTACCTACCTAGTATGAGGGGCACAGTTCCCCACAAAAGCCCTCCGAGCTCGGGACATAGAAGCTCGGGGGGAAGTCCGAGATCTCGCACAGTGTACGAGGCAGAACAAACGAAGACTAACTCTAATATATACAACATGATCACTATAGCAGCATTTCCTTCAATAGCAGCAGCGGGAAGTCTTCGAATGGTTCAGACGACCGATTTGGACTCAGCCATCCCTGGAGAGGATTCTCTACTTGCCTCAGATCGAGGCTGGCGCACTTCTCGGCAGCCGGCAAGGCCAACCATAATATCAAAAGCTCTGATTTTGCGGGGCTGTTATTGCATTTCAACGAGCGGCGATTGCCCGAAGGTCTCCGGGGCTATAGTTGAAGCTGCAACTGACTGGAAGAGCATTGTAGCTACCCGACAACGTCTTGAAACGATTTGTTTTTTTCACGCCTGCTGGGAAGCCCTATATTTGACGCGTTTATGGCCATTGTCGCGCTAACCCTATGTACATGACCATGCATTTGAGATTCCTTTCCTGTCCGATTTATTTCCCTAACCGAAACATGTAGCCTACTCTTTTCATGTTTAGGCTCAAAAGACAAAGGCTGAATATTGATGTGCTTTCTTGGCACGGTTTGCTGCTCGACACCTCGCTCGCTATTCTGATACCATTCACAAGACTACCTAGGTTGTACAAGCAGGCTGAGCGGTAAGCGCATTATTAATTAGCGTAACAGCCGCATTTAGAGCACAGAATGTCCCATGGTTGCTCGCGCCACTGCTAACCGAAATAGCAGTATATGCTAGAATATTCCCCTTCAGCGTCGCATTTACACCTACCGTCGCTGAAGACCCCACAATGAAATAGACATTGCACGCCTGAGCATTGATCAGATTGACCTGGGAAGACGCCATTGCATCAAAGGTGGCCGTGATCAAGAAGATGAACTGGCCACTAGGGTTTGATGTGCCATCTAATGTGAGTGTTCCAGTAAGCTTGACGGCACTGGTAGGGAACGTATACGCGCCGGGACCCAAAGCCTGGCCTCCAAGATCAGAGGCCGCCAGAGCATAGGGGGGCGGAACGGCGTTGGTGTACGCTCGGGCGTTGGTGTAAGCCGTGAGACAGGCGGCCTCGGCGTTTTTGGCTGAGGTTCCGCCGGCAGATAGTGACGTGCAAGTGCCAGGAGGGAAGCCGGTGACCGATGTCCCGGGCGATGTGCCGCAGTTTCCGGTGATCTTTGTATTGCCGGTGCTAGTAAGGGTTGTGGCTGCGATTACGCCGTATGTTCCGGCGTCTCCCATGACGATGGGTGCTCCGCGCTTCTCGACCGTGGAATGAGCGAGGCTAAGGACGGCGACGAAAGCGGCGAGGGCGAGTCTGGAGGTGGTGAAGGTGATAGACTTCATGGTGATTGAGTTGAATAAAAAATAGAGGTGAGAAGTGAAGGAAGGAAGTGCCGGAGAGTGATGAAGTGGTGAGGGAAGGGAAGTCTGTCCAGATTGAAGTAAGTGAAGTAGAGGTGGTTAATTTGAGAATATGAATAGTAGTTCTCGAGAAATACCATCGAGGGAATAGCCTTTATATGCAGAGAGTTCTAAGACATAGCTGGTACTAACGGGAACATAAGCGCCGTGCCGTTGGCAACGTCGAGGGAATGCATAATAACTGATCAAGGCTCTTTATGCGCGAGGTTATCTGTTGACCCTTCTCGGACAAGGGTGATGACCATCAGCCTCACTCGCTGAGAGCATCGATGACCGTGATAAATATCGATGCCCGTGATAACCATGGATGACCACGCCAAAGCACTATTGACGTTGACGGCGAATCAGATGCCAGTCTTTTCGTATTGGTGAGACAAAACTAGCGGTACTCTCCAACGCTTTTGAATTTGCTTTATTCGTAGTCTCCGCTCCTACCGCCGTCGCTCACTGCTCTAGACGGATAGATAAACTATAGTTCGTCCCGGAGGAAATTCCGAAAGTCTTAGGATTGCAACATAAGCATTGGCAATCTGGTTCGTTTAATACCTGACTCCCTACTGAATTGTCCGAGATGAAGCGGCCTGGACTTAAAGACAGCAAGGGGCGACTGGAGAGCGGAGACTCCAACGTCGGCTTCTGTCTTACTAACACGGGAAGGCGGGCGCCGCCGTCGATCGTTCTCTGGCGTTGGTTGTCCTTAAAGGGTCATGTCAGACTGTCTCTGCGAGAGAGGCGCTTCTTCATAGACAGACGACATATGGTGGCGTGGGCTGCCAGCCCAGCACAAATAAAGTAGTGCCAAATGTCGGGGTCAAAGGGATCCCCCGCCGATTCTGCTGAACAGCTTTCCATGCCACGAAAATGTACGATTCATGCGTGTTGCGGTTCGGAGCAAGTACCGACATGTGAGTAAGAGATGGTGTTACATACGGAGGAAAGGGGTCTTCTTACACTTTGATTGGCTTAGATATTCGCAAAGCTTAGATGACTTCTCTATAAATCTGTGGCAGTCTCTCGCAATTCTGATGGAAGAGGCGTATATATATTGTTTGTCTGATGACGAAATGAAACAATAGTTTTCTCGCCTACTGGCTTATGGCAGCCTATAGGTAAGTTGTCGCCAAAACTCATTTTGCATTCTTATATCGGGGTTTACGCACTAGGCATAAGAGCGTGTGTATTTTTTTTTTAGTACATCGATATTTCTATCTAAGTGCTTAGAACCAGCAAGGAAGCCAACCAGCCAGCCAGCCAGCAACCAGCCAGCAAGGAAGCCAGCCAGCAAGCGAGTAAGTAAGCCAGCTACCTTAGTACATACGCGAGTAAGGCCTGTGTTTAGATAGGTTACTAGGTAGGTTGCCTTTTTAACAGATAATTCTCCCCCATCACAACTATTAACGTCTATAACATAGCGTATAAAAAATATAGAGGTTTTGTAATACCTAGTAGGAGCCTAATAGCATTATAATAGGGGAAAATTACATATTAAGTAGAAAACGTATCTAGTGCCCTAGAAAACAGGCCTTACGCGCGTAGGTAGGTAGCTAGTAAGAAAGTAGTAGGGCGTTTATTAGAGAAGCTTATAGGTATATATATAAGTAAGGCGTATTTTTAGATAGGGTACTAGATATATTGCTTTTTTAATAAATAATTTTCCCCTATTATAACGCTATTAACATTTCTAATATAGCTTACAAAAAATATAGAGGTTTTTTAATATATAGTAGTTATAGTTATTCTAGTTATTCTAGTTATTCTAGTTATTCTAGTTATTCTAGTTATTCTAGTTATTCTAGTTATTTTAATTATTTTAGTTATTCTAGTTATATTAGTTATTCTAATTATTCTAATTATTTTAGTTATTCTAGTTATTCTAATTATTCTAATTATTCTAATTATTCTAATTATTCTAGTTATTCTAGTTATTCTAGTTATTCTAGTTATCCTAGTTATCTTGGTTATTCTAGTTATCCTAGTTATCCTGGTTATCCTGGTTATTCTAGTTATTCTGGTTATTCTGGTTATCCTGGTTATCCTGGTTATCCTAGTTATTCTGGTTATCCTAGTTATCCTGGTTATTCTAGTTATTCTGGTTATTCTAGTTATTCTAGTTAATTCTGGTTAATGGTGGTGGTATGTACTAGTACAAGCCTCATCCGGGAAAAGCGCGGTAAAACCTCAACTCGGTCAGGTTAACCCCGTGGAGTTGGACCAGGTTATATGTAACCACCTGGGCTGGCTGGCTGGCTGGCTTCCTCACTGGTTCCTTGCTAACTGGCTATAAGGATAGTATGTAACTAAAAAACACAATAGCCTACTTATATATGTATTATTTCGCATCTAACTACACACATGGTGTGAACTGAGTTTTGGCGACAACTTCCCTATTAGTAGGCTGCCATAGGGTAGAGCATTAGGCTGAGTGAACCGCCTGGCCGTGCTAACTTTTCTGCGCAATGGCCGATAACACTGTGCGCTGGAGAGGTTATCGGCGCCCCCACAAAAAAATTAAACGTTCGACAGTGCCAGGATGTTTGCCGGGTTTGCTGGTGCTGGAGAGACTGGTGCTGCAAAACGAGCCATCCAATTTTTCATACAGCATTTCTCCGTTGCGCAATTCTCAGTCAAAATGCCCGTCATAAAACCGTTGAGTTCCGACTCAAACGATGCCCCGAGCCAATATAAGCAGACCTCCAGAAAGGGCAAGAAGGCCTGGAGAAAAAACGTCGACGTGACCGACGTGCAGAAGGGTCTTGAGGAATTGAACGAGGAAATCATTCAAGGGTAAGGATGAGCGTGCCCAAAGGAGAAACTAAGCAGTGTGGTACCGATTTTAAAGACGCTGACACTATTCTATCGCAGTGGTGTTATTCGTGAACGAGATTCTGCAGACCTCTTCGCCATCGACATCGAAGGTGACTCGCAAATTTCAAAAAAGTACCCCAAACACGCCAAAAAGACCCTCAAGGCCGATGAAATTCTTAACAGACGGTCTGCTGTGCCGGCCGTGCCCATGCGCAAGCGGTTTGGTGACAATACGACGAACGGACTGGTTCCTGTAAAGCGTCAGCGTTCAGATTGGGTAACGCACAAGAACCTGGCCCGGCTCCAGCGAATCGCCGACGGCCAACACGAGACTACCATTCAGGTCAATGACGCCACGTTTGACTTGTGGGATGCGCCCCAAGAAGTAGAGCCTGAGACCAAACTCGACCATACCAAGCTCCACGTCAAGGTGCCCAAGACGATGAAGCAAATGCCCATTTCCCTGGTCGCCAGCGGCAAAGCCGTGCCCGCCGTTCAAAAGCCATCGGGCGGCTACAGCTACAACCCCGTGTTTACCGATTACGAGGAGCGCCTCGCGCAGGAGAGCGAAAAGGCGGTCGAGGCCGAAAAGAAGCGCCTCGCGGCCGAGGAGGCTGCCCAGCTGAAGCAAGACGCCGCGGCCAAGTCCGCGGCCGAGGCCGAGGCCGCCGAGGAGCGCGCCAACATGTCCGAGTGGGAGGAGGACTCTGAATGGGAGGGCTTCCAAAGCGGCGTCGAGGACGCGGGGTCGAGCAGCGCGGCGGCCGCGGCGAAGCGGCCGAAGCGCAAGACGCAGGTCCAGCGCAACCGCATCAAGCGCCGCCGCGAGGACGAGCAGCTCGCCAAGCACAAGGCCGCCATCAAGGCGCGCCGCCTCCAGGAGGCCCGCATCCGCGAGCTCGCAGCGGAGCTGGACGCGAAGGAGCAGGCCCGCGCGCTGGCGCTCCTGAACGCCGGCGACAGCGAGAGCGAGGGCGAGCTGCGCGGCACCGAGAAGCTCCGCCGGCGGCAGCTCGGCAAGTACAAGCTGCCGGAGCACGACCTCGAGCTCGTGCTGCCCGACGAGCTACAGGAATCCCTGCGCCTGCTCCGGCCCGAGGGCAACCTCCTCCAGGACCGCTACCGCAGCATGGTCGTGCGTGGCAAGGTCGAGACCCGCCGACACATTCCCTTCCACAGGCAGGCCAGGACAAAGGCGACGGAGAAGTGGACGCACAAGGACTTTATCTTGTAAATGCAACCGACGGTATAGAGAAAGGAAAAGGGGATATTTTGGTTGGGGTTCATATGTTCTTGGGTTGGCGCAGGAAAAAAATCTTCACGGTTTGGCATATCTCATACTTGCACGTCATCTTTTGGTTGTCGGAACTTTTTTGGGTCATGTTGAAAATTCTTTTTTTTTATACAGGAGCGTATGCGGTAAATTAAAAAGTGAAAGAATTCTCAAGTCGTGAGGTAACCAACGTTCTAAAACAAAAGCCCTAGAGTCAGGCGTGACTCGTATCCAACAATCGCTCCTACGATTTCTCCTTTGCATGTTAATATCTATACTCTTCTTTTTTCAAACCTTTTTTAAAAACGTTTTCTAGAAACTCATGAGATCTGTTGATGCCAAAATTAGTCAAAAGCTGCCACATCATCAAACATGACTCGGCGAAAATGCTTACCTCTGCCAAACAGGCCTCTCTTGGCCCAGTCCATAGCCATGAGACATCTCGTGCGGAAGCTGACGCTCTGCGCAAAGTAGACGGACCGCCAGGCGTAGACGGCCCACAGACCGCCGGTAAAGCTCCAGCCCTCGCCGAGGTCGAAGACGGCCGAGTTGCCGACGTACGCGAGGCTGCCAAAGTGGCGGTACTCAAACGCCTTGAACGCGGCGGCGTCGAGGTCGCCGTCGCGGACGTCATTCACCTCGAGCCCCTTGGACAGATGCGCCATCTTGTTGAGCTTCTGGCCCAGGTAGACGCCCTGCTGGTTGGCGCGCTGCGCCGTGGCGGGCAGCGAGGTGAGCTTGCTGTCAATCTGGGCGAGGAGCTCGCGGAGCTCGCCAAAGTCGAGCGTACCCGACTGGTCCTTGTCAAACTCCTCAAAGAGCTTGTCGAGGCGCCGCAGGTGGGACACGGCCTGCGGGAAGCGCTGCTTGACCTCCATGGCAACCCGACGCCAGTCGCTAAAGTGGAGCTGCATCGTCTCGGGATCCTTACCGTGCTTGTACGCGATGCTGCGCAGCACGCTGATGATGTGGTCCGCGACGTTGTTCTGCACGGTCGAGCAGTCGCCAATGGCGTAGACGGAGCCGAGGGGGGATCCTGTGAGGCGCAGGTGCGTGTCGGTCTCGAGGGCGCGGCGGTTGGTCTGGAAGTCGCCGAGCGTCTTGGCAATATTTTGCGCGAATTCCGTCTGGGACACGCCGGTGGACCAGAGGCAGAAGCCAATGGGCAGCTCCTTGGTCACGAGGCTGCCGTCGGGCTGCTTTTGCGAAAAGACAATCTTATCCGGGTGGACCTCTTGTACGCGCGAGTTGGTCAGGACGTCGACGTGGTCGCGGGCGAAGCGCTTCTCGGCGTACTTGGAGACTTCTTCGTCGTAGGTGTTGAGGATGTGGCTGCGACTTTGGATCAGATGGACGGAGATTTCGTTGCGCAGCAGACGGGGAAAGTTGCGGGTCAAATCCTCATTGAGAAGATCGTAGAGCTCGGCGGCGAACTCGACACCGGTGGGACCACCGCCGCTGACGCAAAAGGATAGAAGACGACGGCGCTCGGTGTCAGTGGTGGTGGGCAAGCAGGCAAGCTCGAGGTTGTGAATGATCTTGTTCCGAATCATCCGCGCGTCGTTAATATCCTTGAGGAAAAAGGCATTCTCGAGACCCTTGACGCCATGGGGGTTGGTGACGGAGCCGACGGCAATAACGAGCTTGTCGTAAGGTACATAAAAGTGAATCTTTTTCCCGTTGAGATCCGTTTGCGACACCTCGACGAGCTTCTCGTTGAAGCAGACCTCTTCGGCGCTGGCCCGGATAAAGTGACCATGGATGCGGCCGAGGATGCGACGGATCGGCTCGACCAGCGACCGCGATTCGAGCGTGCCAACCGTCGCCGACGGCAGCATGGGCGTGAAGAGGAAGTAATTCGTGGGCGAGATTACGGTGACGTGGTAGTCATTGGCGTTCAGCTCCTTGAGCAGGGCGACGCCGCCCCATCCGCCGCCGAGGATGACGAGCTTGGGCTTGTCCTGGTTCTCGCGCTTGCCATTGTTGTCATTGTCGTCGATGAGGACGTCGGCAATGGGCAGGTTCTTGGGCCCGCCGCGGCGCGGGTTCAGAGCGAGCTGACCAACAGTGATGTCGCCCGCGTCGGCGCCCTCCTTGTACGTGGTCGCGTCGTAGACGAAAAAGGCCGTGACGAGGATGCCGCCGACGGCAATGGACGTGCCGATCCACGCCATCATCCGGTAGCAAAAGTTGAGCGTCCACGACTGCCGCTGCGGTAGCGGCTTACCGGAGAGTGCGCGCGCGTGGAGAAGCGTTGCTGCGCGGTGGTGCGTGGCGCCGACGGCCCGCGTCCAGGTCGGTGACGTCGCGCGGTGAAGCTGGACAAGTGTGCGGGTAGCTGACGGCGCGGATCGGGAGACGAGCGGCGGCGGTGCAAGCGAGACGCGAGGCAACGGCGCCAGCGCCCGATGAACAGCTGCAGCGCGGCCGCCAAAGGGACGAAGCGGCGCAGCCATGGCCGCACGAGTTGGAATAAGCTCCGTGGGAAAGCACACGTCGATGGAGCTTCGAGGAAGCTACCTGGAGCTTGGCAATCGACGATCTGACGAGTGGATGATGAAAAGGGAAGCGTATTTAAAATGCAATTGGCCCGGCGAGGAGCTGCAAAAGCGAGCAAGAGATGAAGCAATAGAGGCAGGAAAAGAGAGTTTGAGAAGAAAAACCGCACGAGGTAATCAGCTATCACGGCGTCGACGGAGCAAGCGCTGGTGTCACCGCGCAAACAGGTTTAGGCGGGTGCTGAAGCTGGCTAGCACGGCCCAGGGAGTGGCGTCATAGGCGGGCCAGAGAGGGCGGCTGGCTTCTTGGGACGAGTTCTTTGAGTCTTCAGCCACTGTGGCTGGTGCTGGGTTGCACCTCGAACACTCTTCAGGCGATCGACTGCCTGTAAATGCAAAACCTACGGGGCATCGGGCGCTGCGAGCTCCACTGAACTGCACGATACGATCCGTAACAATGTACCTAGACTTTTGCCAGCTGGATTTCTTATCCGGCTGCTCCGGGAACGGGTGGAAACGCAGCCAGGAAAATCTCATTTGTGAGCAACTAATTGGGCGAGAAAAACTCCATGCTCTTGAAAAAGCCCCGTCGCCGCATGTCTGTGTCTGAACACCACAAATATTCAACTCCGCGGACATGATGTCGGCAGCCCGAGCTCGGATCCGATTGCCAGCACAGCCACCGCTGGACACTCACCGGACGAACATCAGCACCAATCAGAACCAACTTCAGAGTTCAACATCAGACCAATGTACAATCGATAATATCACAAGTGCTATATGCTTGTATATGCAAAAAAGAAAGAAAAGAAAGTGACGTCAATGACGCCACCCCTGGGAAATACCTTGCAGAGCTAAAGCAAAGCGCATGGCTTAACAGCGAAAATATCGCTTCTCAACCCATCGCTGCTCCTGATCCGCCAGTACATTCACCACGACCACCCTAATCTCCGGAAAGACGGTCATCAGGCGGTGCAGCCCGATCCGGCCTGCCGAGTACGTCGCCAGCACAATCTTGCTAAGCGCCACGCCGTGGTCGACCAGGACCTGCACGGCCATGAGCGCCGCGCCGCCGCTGGCCATTTGCGTGTCCAGCAGCAGGACGCTCTCGTGCGTCGCAATATCTGCCGGGAGCTTGAGGTAGTGCAGCTCCGGCTCGCCCGTCTTGAAACTGGACTGGATCAGGAGCCGGCCCGCGCGGCAGTCGGGGATCGTGCGCTTCAGCGCCGGCTCAAAGGCCGACCCGCCGCGCAGCACAATGACGGCGCTGACCTCGCCTTTGGGCGCCAGGCCATGGTATTCGTGGCCCTGGGGTGTACTGACGGACAGGCTCTGAAACTGGACATTGTTGAGGGCCCTGGAACCCCTGTTAGCAAAACCGCTTCGGTGACGTGATGAAATGAGGCGTGGGTACTCACTGCTCAAGCACCAGCGCCGCCAGCCTGTCAAAGTAAAAGATGAAATCCTCGGCCGACGTGTCAATGTCTTGCAGAATCGTGTTCATGGCCTTGATCTGCGGTGTACCATTCAGCACAACAACGTGATCTGAAAGCGGCTGCTCCTTGCATTCCGCCTCCAGTCTCGATAGCGCCTCTCGGTGGTGTCTGGACTTTTCGACCAGCTTCTTCTCGATGAACTGGACCATCATGTCTACAGCCGCTGTTAGACATTGATTCAGTCAGTGCTAAACACCTCTCTTACCAAGTGCAACGCGGTTCTCGATGCCTCGCGGGACGATGAGATCTGCGACTTTTCGCTGCGGTTCGACAAACTAGAATTTTGGTAAGACCTGGCCTCGATGCCTAGCTGAGCACATGACTGTACCTTTTCAAAGTTGGGCTTCACAAAGGCAAACCACTGCTTGATGCAGCCCTCAATGTCTCGGCCACGCTCGCGAACATCTCGCACAACTAATTTCATGCATTTTAGCCAGTTTACACCGCGTCGACGGCTAGCATACACTTACTTCGACGTGACAAGCAAGTATCCGCATCAGCCTCACAATAAATCTGCACACATGTTAGAGTGACGATCGCTTCCTGTTATGGTGGTCACCTACACCCATATCGAGAAGCTCCAGGACCCGCGGGTCGTACAGGGCAAAGATGCCTTCTAGAACGAGAACATGTGGGGAATAAATCGAGGTTGTCTGCTCCAGACGTTGATGTTTGGAAAAGGAATATACAGGGATATCGGCACGTTTTCTGCATATGCGTGTGAGCACGCGACATGACTAGCGCAGTTTGCAGTACTTACCCAGCTTTGAGATCCCTGAGGCGCTCAACCAAAATGTCAAAGTCGATGGCCTTTACGGGTTGCGGTTAACGTCAAGAATGGTTCCAAGAAGCGGCCATACGTACATCGGGAGAATCGAAATCATATTCGTTGGCAAAAGCCTGCTTTGACTGCTCAGGTGTGAGAGTTTTGTAGAATGAGTCCTGTTCCCAGTCAGCACCCATCAGAGAGAGACACTTTAGAATGCACGACTCAAAAGAGGCGTCGCACCATGGATAAGATGACCACCCATGGCAAATTGAGCTTCTTCACGATGGCCTGGGAAAGAGTCGACTTTCCAGAACCGGAGCTTCCCGCCACACCAATAATGCTAACGTCTGCCCAGGGTGGTGCATAGTAGGCTCTCTTCTGCACCGTGACATGAGTCTCCGACATGTTGCAGTTCCAGGGGCACAATGTGCAGACCTGTCCTCGGCTCAATCTTTCGGGACAAGTCCTTGACGCGGTCGTCGAGAAAATCCACCACCGCAGAGGCGACCTCGCGGCTGATCCACCTGTAGACGGCCACAGGAGGAGGCAGCGAAAAGGTCAGGGGGGCGCTGAGGATGGGGCGACAATCAGAGATTTCTGAGCGACGATAGTTCTGGCAGGCAGGCAGAAAGCTCCGAGATGGCCAAGCAAAACTCAAGAGTCCAAAACCTCCGTCACGATGACCTCGAAGATAACCTGCCCTGGCGCCTTGATTTAGTTGATTTAGCGGAGAGACCCTGATTGGCTCACGCGCTTCCCATTGGCTGTGTGTCACGTGCACCGCATGCAAGGGTTGGTCTCAACTTTGCTTGTCAGCCGCAAGCCAAGACGAAAACTAAAAAGACGGAAACTATATCATCAGGTTCCGAAGCTTAAAAAAACGAAAAAAGTCGAAAACTTTGATTGAATTTCGCAGTTCATATAGACTCTATACATATTCAAATCAATAGCTGCATTCCATCCCAGAAAAGAGGTAGGTAATAGGCTGCACAGTTGTTGGTCTGACGAGTCGTGGCGGTGATCCTCTGAATGGTAACTACTCGACAAATAATGTTTTCAATTCATAAATCGAGGATATTATCGAAGGCTGGAATGCCGGAATGCTGGGATCATCTGGCATTGGTGAGATTTCTATCATATGATAGGTCATATTTTTACTTTTCGGGCTCTTTATAAAAAACCGATACATCGACTGTCTTTTTCTCCCGGGCAGCCCAGATTCCTTTGAGCGCCCATGCTTTGGCTCACAACTCCAATGTTGTGGTTGTCAAAAGACTGGTTATTAATTCACAGGATTAGAAGTCTCTACTGACGACTTGACTGGTCGAAGTTTGTTTTGGTTCTCGACGTATGTTGCAAGTGTTTTAACATTTATCCGTTTTTTTCTTTGTAGGAATAGTGAGGAGCAGGCACTGCATTTACATTGGTATTTCTGCATGCTACCCGGGAAGCCGAGATCCTTGGGCGACAGTTTGTACGTGCCTGGTCGTAGAGATGACTCTTCGCCTTGACCGTGTCTAAGTCGTGGACGTATATCAGCACTACATGCACAACGATATTGCTAAAGGGAAGCCGTAAGGCTCTGATAAAGATCGCTACATCTAAAGCATCATACGTCCGAAGAAACTGCAACAGAACGGCGATGATGAAGATTGTGACTCTGTAGTGCGTAAACTTATACCTTGGACAAGAGCCGCGTATGGCCGCGAGTAGCCGTAGTCGTCACGGAGAATGTTTCTGGCTATCTTATTTACGTTAACCCGGGTACTGAAGTCACAATATTGGTTATAGATAAACTAAATGAAACAATGGCCGTAAAATACAGACTTGTCGCTAGAGTGTTTGTAGGTGAGGGTGGACTGGCTGTCCTGGTACTAGATAACGCCGAGGAATTGTTTGGTCAATGATACGCACGTTTCCATTTTCCTATCATGATATATAAATAGACAGAGTTTCAACTGAAAATTATGCCTTTCCGGTAGAACATCGAGGCCCGGCTCCACGGGACGTTTGACGGACGAGAAACCGGCTCCCTAGCGCTGCGACGGTGGGTGAAGGATGTGCCGTGTCGAGTTTGCTCGCGATCTCCATCTTGCTTCACTTCGAGTCTCATTGGGCACTCGATCGTAATTCAGGAGTGCGTACTGAAACACTTGCAAACAATAGCCCCGCCTTGCGCCGTCATGCACATCGTGCATCGTGGGTGTAAAGAAACGCATCGAGTTGTTTTCTGATGCTGCCGAGGCGACCATTGGCACGGGTTTTTCTTGCCAGCCAATACCGAGGCACCAAACTCCTGCATGCACGATCCTAGGCTGCTCGATTCTTTTCAATGCGTCGGGAAGCACAATGCGCAAACGCATTGCAGCGTCCTTGCACAAGCTGCCATCGAGGCGGGTGGGTCAAGATATTCAACGTTTTCTTCCCAGCAGAGCGGGAGGCTACAGTCGTCGTTGAGTTGAGCACATATGTGTATAGTGGCCTGATGAAGCACAGCACCGCTCGGCACGCTAAGACGACGCAGCGAGCCGAGGCGCATCCTGTAGAATTGAGGCGAATGTATGACGGCGGGAGATCAACATCAGACTGGCAACTGATCTAGCCGTCCCTCGTCCTCAGGTACGTCGTCAGTTGGCATAATTCTTGACACAATGATGTGCACTAGTATCGCCTTTGCGCCTCCAGTCACTACGTGCATAAAACAAGAGATTTTGCCAAGACCTGGTCAGCCACCACAAGATTCCCCTCGATGATTGTCAATGAGCAACGTTGACGCAGCTGGCGGTGCTTTTTGGAGCTTTGGACCTGTGAGTTTTGAGTTTTGAGAGTAAATGAAACGGATTCTTTGGTGTAGCATATATACACACCTACACGTGCTGGGACGAGATGACAGCACTCGGCGGCAGGAGGTGGATGTGGCGTATGGCATGAGCATCGGTCACGGTATGCTCCGGTTTCCAATCCAGCATGTGCCCCTGCACAAAAAAAAGCCCCCAAGGCACTGGCACCCTGCTACGGCAGCCTATAGGTGAGTTGTCGCTAAATCCTAATTCACACCTAGTGTACGGTTAGATACGAAATAATATATATATAAGTAGGCTATTATATTTTTTAGATATATATTATCTTTATAATAAATATAGGTTATTCTTATATCTAAATATAGCTACCCTATTTAGTATATTTTAGTTTTACTTTATATAATATATTATATAAACCTTTCTTCTTTCTTTTTAGCTATTAATTCTATTAATCCCCCCCCCCTTTTACCTTTA